ATCCATAGTCGGGCTATGGATGAAAAGTCGGACGTTGAGGTTCACAGATACCACGTCCGACAGGCTCTTACAATCATGCGAAAGCATCAATTGTATGCCAATCTCAAGAAGTGTATATTTGCAGCAAGCGAAATACCACTTTTTGGGTGCATTGTTGGTAAGAACGTAGTACGTCCTGATCCCGAAAAGAACAAGGCGATCACCGACTGGACTGTGCCAATTATGGTCAAAGGTCTTCGAAAATTCCTTGGGCTAGCGGCGTATTTGCATAAGTATTCACGCAATTACGCCGAGATGACTGTACACCTCTATCGTTTGTTGAAAAAGAACGAGAGGTGGTTATAGAACGCTGAATGTCAGCGCTCCTTTGATGGTATCAAGCAGAGCTTGATACAATCCCCAGTCCTAGCAATTGCCGATCAGGACAGGCCATTTCAATGGTCTGTGATGCCAGCGATTTCGCAATCGGCTGTGCTTTAGTGCAGTACGATCTTGAAGGCGTTGAACGCGTCGTCTGCAATCAGTCGCGTCAGCTGCAACCAGCTGAGCGTAACTATCCAGTGCATGACAAGGAACTCCTTGCCATGAAGTATGCACTCGCGAAGTTCAGTCTATGTATTAGGAGATAGACCCTTCATTGTTCACACTGACCATGCGTCGTTACGCACAGCAGTAGACACAGCCCGCACCTTTCACAACGAATGACGCGGTGGTTGTCATTCTTTGCAGAATACAACTTTACGGTCGAGTACAAACCAGGACGACTTAACGTCGTCGCTGATGCACTCTCACGTCGTCCCGACTTTGAACCAGTCGTGAAACCCAACAGTGAGACAGCCACTGTTGCGGTTATGACGTCCTCAGTCCCATATTCAACGTTACATGATGATGTGAGGAGGGCATACGCCCAAGATGGTGAGATTGTGAAGTTGTTGACACATCTCTCACAGCCATCTCGAGAATCGTTGAATTGATTGTCGTCTACGTATCGATCTGCATCAGATCGATAAACTACTCACAACGGTTTACTGTATTATACAGCCGTTTCTGGTGACACACCGCGTGTTGTCATTCCAGATGATACTGATCTGCGTTTGCGGATCATGTCCGAGTATCACGATGCTCCTATAGGAGGACATCGTGGCCGGGAAAAAACATATCCCACGGTGAGTCGAGACTTTTACTGGCCCCGCCAGTATCAGTTTGTGCGAAAGTATGTTCGCGCATGCGAAGTCTGTCAACGAGTGAAGTCAAGTCCTTCACTGCGTGCACCTTTACAGCCTCTACCAGTTCCGGCAGAGTGCTGGGAATCCATCTCAATGGATTTCGTCTTCGGGTTACCCAAGGACGCACGCAGGAATACGGGTATTCTCGTCTTTGTTGACAGATTCAGCAAAATGGTACACCTTGTGGCTGTACCCGAGTCAATCACAGCAAGTGGCTGTGCTTGTGTCTTTATTGACACCATTTTCCGACTTCATGGGTTATTCCGTGAACTCGTATCAGACCGAGATCCACGATTCACTGCTGATTTCTGGCGTTCCGTGTTCAAATCACTCGGCACGCGCTTGAAGATGTCGACATCTGATCATCCAGAGTCAGATGGTCAGACGGAACGTGCCAATCGTGTCCTCGAAGAGATACTTTGAGGATACGTACGCTACTTCAAGAGTTGGAGTGAGTTCTTGCCAATGGTAGAGGTTGCCATTAACAACTCGGTGCATGCGCCCACGACACAGACACCGTTTTACGTGAATGGCTTGCGCCATCCGCGTGTACCCACCTTACTCGAGTGTAACTCTGGTTTAAGGGGGGGAGACTCGCGCGAGCAAAAAAACGATTTGGTTCACGCTCATCACGCTCTGACGAAGAGGTCATTGCGTTTGATGCCGATATCGATAACATCGATATCGAAGAAGATGATGCCAGTGAGAGTGCGGAAGACCTCACTGAAGAAAAGGTTGATGTTGCTGTAGTGCACTCACAGCGCACTGAAGCTAACGAGTCAGCAGATGAGTTCATACTGGCTCGTGAAACGGTAGTCCGTTTTGTGCAAGACTCTATCGCCGAAGCGGTGGATAAGCAAAAGCAAAACACAGACAAGAATGGAAGGGCAAACACTCTTTTATTTAATAAAGGTGACTTAGTCCTACTGTCTACGGTTAATCTACCAAAGCATGTAGTGACTAACGTGGGTAGCAGTAAACTACTACCCAAGTACATCGGCCCATTTCGTGTATTGCATCGCCTAGGCAACGCATACACGATCGAACTGCTACGTAAGATGCGAACGCATCCCACGTTTTACGTTGGTCGGCTTAAGCCGTACCATCAGTACGCTGTTTCTTCCGATAAATAACGCCCTTGCGCTCAAGCATCTCACAGAGAGCCTTGTGCTCCCGATGGTGGATATTAACAAAGGTCTGGAGAGCATTTATCTCAGCCCGAGACCGGTCAATATCCACACGAGCTACCCTTAGCTCGTCACGCAGAGATGTTAAAGCTCTCTCGTTCTCAAGCTGAGAAAAAGCAAACTCAGCTCGATGCTTCGAGACAGTGTCCGCCAGTTGTAAAAGCCTGTCCCGCTCATGTTCGAGGTCGCCGCGTAACGCAAGAGTTACGCAATCAAAGATGCTCTCGGAGACACACGCTCCCCCACAATAGTTTGGAGAGCGTCTTCCTCCTCCTCCACCTCCTTTAGAGAACTCTCGTGGTGGCCAGAGCTATCTGATTGAGCGGCTGTTGAACCACCGCGATGTGAACGGACGTCGGACGAGTTACCTCGTCCGGTGGCGCGGTTATCCCCCGTCCTGGGATACTTGGGAGCCCCGCTCCCAACTGATGGTTGACATACTGGGTCTGGTTGAGCATTACGACGCGGCGCATTCTGTGCCGCAGAAAGATTGCCGGAGAAAGTCTTCTCGGCACGGTCGTAAAGGGATTTCAGGTTGTCAATCCCTTTGTACACATCTCACTAGAGATACGTACGCGCCACCACGGGCTAGTAAGGAGGTAAGCCTCCTTAGGTGCGCGCGCAGAGTTGTTCACACAACATGGGCACGAGTCTCCCCATGAGAGGCAGGGTAATCCTTTCTCCCTAGACAGACGATGCAGCTTGTAGCGTGCACATGTCGGGGTTCGCTTTTCAAACTTATCACGAGCTTTGATAAGTTTGTCGTTCCAAGCGTCACGACCTACATCCTCAAGGTTATGTATGTAAGCGTTCCACGCTTGAAGCAGTGAGGGACCATCACGTTTGTGATTCCCACTGCACCATCAATGTTTAAAGAAAGAATCGATGAAGAATTCGTTTTCAGCGCGATAGTTTTTCGCGCTGGGGTCAAGGTGATGGATCCTTGACGAATCGAATAATCGTACTCGATAACGATCACTCGTCGTCGCCGACAAGTGATCCATGACTGACTTTGGAGGCATCCATGCCTTCTTCTCGGGAGCGAGACGCAGCACACTGCGATCCTGCTCTTCTTGCGACGTGCCGACATAAGTACTGGTACCTCGTTGCGAAGTGGTGTCAATAGGAGAACCGACATCACTGTGAGCGCCAGAGTCTCGCGACCTCGAGCGCCTTCGCTTCGGCGATGGTTCACCTGATTCGTCAGATGAACCAAAGATGCTACGACGCATAGCATCATCCATTCCACGCTTGGCAGGCGGCTTGGTTTCGATCGCCGTCGATACGGATCCGTCTTCCGTATCAGGAGAGTATGAGACACCGAGCTCATACTCTGTGAAGACATGATTGTCTTCATGACGAGCGCCTGCATCACCAGGTGATACAGGCTGAGACGCTTTGGCAACCGATGACACATCGGCTGCAGCGGTTTCTGCTTCGGCGTCTGCACAGAGACGTGCAGACGCGCTCTCAGCGGCCTTGTTCGCGCACCGCATGGACTTGTTAACCATGCGATGAAACTGATGGACTGTGGACTCGGACCAACAAGTGCAAACCTCGTCCCAAATGATTTGGGACGAGTATCCATTTAGTCAATCAGTCACTAAAGTGACTGATGGTTAAGGGGGGTGATGTAACGGGGTGAACCGTTACATAAAAATTTATATGAAATTGTTAATAGAATATAACTATAAGGGTTATATTCTCAGAATATTGTCACAAGAACACATTCTGAAGCACTTACGAGTACTTCCTAATTGGTTGATATAGGCCATTATATCAACCAACGAAGACGCGCCACGACAGACGCACGCAGTGAGTGGTAAGCAGATAGTTGACATGCACATTTGTATTTAGACATAGTTAGATGAGGATAAACAGTGGTTTATTAACAGACATTAACTTTTATAAATACAGTTCCACTTTTTACTTTAGCCAAGTACTCGCTTCTTCTTACAGTCTTCCTCTGCACGTACGAGTGTACGTGAAGTTATGCGGTACCGCCTCATTCTGTCATCAGAATAAGTAGCTTGTACTGTCATCAGTACGAGCTTCAAAGTGCCCCGTTACACCACTTTTCTACGAAGGAGGACGAGCACAGGCGGCTGATGGGACTTTGGACTACTAATGGCAACGATACCACAGCCAAATGCCGAACGGGATTCTGTGCTGCGAAAGACTCACTTGTGCAGGCGCAACAGGAAATTTTGATCGAGCTTTTGTATCGAAAGACGAGTCGATGCTAGCTTGACTGATTGTGGTTTTACCGTATAGCGACTTTCGAAACGTGGGGAGAAGCTGAACGATTTAGGACTGATTTAAAAACAGAGCAGATGAAGAAGACATCGGAGTCACTTTTCAAATTGCCGTGGCACGACTCCAGCGATTTGTAATCAGCCCTTGTATTTCTTTGATTCGTTACCACTACGAAAATGAGTGGTGGCGACAGCTCCACGAGAGCGGGTCGCCCCCCTCGCCCGCCGTATCCTCCGGACGATTCTTCTTCCTGCGGGATGTAGCTGTCATAGGATGTATCGACCCGCCTCCGGAACCAGCTCAATTCGCGGAGGAGCTCGAATCGGCCCCTATGACCAGTGACATGACCATGGACGAAACCAGTGATGGCTCCACTGAGCCTACTCATGCCCACGATCTGACAGCGGCCGGCCATTCTACTGCAGTATGGACACCAGCGGAGGTTGCACGGCTGCGGGATATTGGTGTTGCTCCCGCTACTGCAACAGTAGCCGAAGCTACGGTCGAGCAGAGGCTGTTCCACATCGCAACGAAGGATTACCCGCTTCACGATGACTCCTCTCTTCGACCGATGACCTTGGATGAACGGAGCGCGTTGAGTGCCTACGTTTAACGCCGTCTTGACCTCCCGGGCCCGCCCACCTTTCTCGTATGCACCACACCAGGTTTGCAACGAGCCGCTGTGATGGCTTATCACCAGTTTCAGGTCGAAGGGACGTTGATAGCTGACGTTCCGGCGAGGGCTCGGCTAGGCAAATCGCTCCACCGTCGGTCTATCCTACGCGAGATCAGTGCGGCCCATAAAAGGACTGAGGAAGACAGGATCAAGATGCGGCTTTTTGTCCAAGCAGCACAACGGGTAGTCTATGAAGGCAACCAAACTTTTTCATTTGTCTCCACGTCTAAGCCTGCAGCCGCCGTTTAAGCCAACACGGAGCTCAGACTACGTATTTGTACCATCACCTTGCGGTCGGCTGAAAACGACATCCCAAGAACACGAACGATACCACAGGGTGGCGAGACACTATGCTGTAAAATTACTTGGGACCGAGGGGTTAGATCCGATCTTGCTGCATACTGTGTTTAGCCAGATCGCTGGAACCAGTATCTTGGATATCCGACATCCTGGTGTTAAGGGGCTTGCGGAACACGATAATGATTACTGGATGGTTATCTTCCCCGGCATGGACTGTCCCTCTACACTTCTCAATGTCACTTCGCTAGTATTAGGTGAAAGAGTGATTACGATCCACCATTTCCAGCGTGTCGCCACGGCACCCTGTAGTCTTTTTTACAGCCCCGCACATCTACGGGCGCGCTGTCGCGCCTCAGACGACCGATTGGTATCCCTGCGAGCGAGCCGGCAGCGCAAGTATGTAGGGGAGGCTATGTCAAATGTTTCCTCATTATTCAACGTCTGTACAAACATTGATGATCTGGACCGAATATTAGGCGCCATCGCTTCCCCGACTGCTACGAGTGGAGTATCCGAAGCGACTCAGGTACTGGAGACCATACCAGTACCAATTCAGGTAAACACAGGGCCATCTCATACTACTGGACGCTTGGGACATCGCGATGCTGCACCGGATGCGACTGGATGGTCCGTAGTAGGACGGGCACAGCGCCGACAGGGCAAGAATCGTGATTCTAATAGACGTGGTCCTGTTTCGGCACACACCAGCGGAACAGTGAGACCGAATGGACGAGTGCTCCCACAGCGCGGTCGGTCGATACCTCCACAGCGGACCCAGAATGACTCCGCACGCCAATCAGATCATCATCTACGAAGAGGAATTAATCAGGGAGCTGTTTCTCCTAATCCGGCCCACGTCTCTTCTCTACGTGCTTCACTCGCAGAGAGTGCCATAAGTTTACAGGAGTCACACACTGCCGATCAATCGCAGCCTAATCCACCCACATCGTTTAACGCTACCACACCGGTTCTTGGCGCGTCATCTGATACCGGTCTCACGCTACACTGTACCATCTACGAAGAGCTCGCGGAGAGCTCTGACGACGATGATGATTATGAGGACGACCGATTACCTTCCATCGCTCAGCCTCGAATGGCTGACCGTGAGGCACAGACAACTACGATGGATGGCTTTGATGAGGACGTGGACATGGACGCTACTTTAACCCCGGTCTCATTTCCAGACTACGAAGATAATCTTCAATCGGTTGCAGTAGACCATTCTGCACATACGAGGCAGTCCACGGACAAGCGCAGCATCTCGTCAGAAACCCATTCTACCCACGATTCTTGCTGGCCCCCTGTTCAGACCACTACGGACCCTGGGATTGACGTGGACGATAATGTGATGGAGACACTAAATCCGACGATGCCTGGAGAAATCATCCCGGTGTCACGAGGTGGACCTGATAAGGGCGTGGTGCTGGATCACGGCGAGCCTCCCAGCCTGGTGTTGGAATGGATTGGAAGCTTGCATGGATTGCAGGTTGACGTCCCCTCTAATCAGCAGAGTCTCTACTCTGGTATCTTTGCCTCCACAACGAATGTCCAAGCTTCTACGTTTTATCCTTCAGTGTCCCAAATGCGGGATATCAATGCCATTAAGCAGCAGGTTACGGATCTTATCTTGGCCAACATGCGGTACGATGTACAATTGATGCAGATCGACCCCGCACATGAATTGGAACGCCTGTACCAGACTTCCACTCCCCCGATTTCTGTGAAGGCGGCGACCGCTGCACTATATGCTCATTATGCGACCTCGAGGGAACAATGTGTAAGCACGGCGCTTCCCAGCGCTTTTTGGTGTGAGACTACCATTCTTCGTGCTCTTGCAATGTATTTGAGGGAGCCAATTTATGTATGGGGTGTGGACGAGACCGGCAATTGCTCCGCGAGACGGTTTTCTTTCCAGACATTCGCGATGCCCAATGAGGACGACCACGAAACGGGCATCGTGCAGGTACTTGACGTTGAGCGAGTTGTGTCATCCTCGAGGCTTGTTATAACAACAAGGTCATTCCAGTCATGCTGGTATTGAACCACACACAGAGAAAATTCTATGGTGTGCAACATGACGACTACATAATGCCTGGAACGCGCTGCAGGGGCCTAATATGCGTGGGCGATTGAATTTAGTGCATCAACAGGTCGGATTACCTAAATTAGACTCTACTCCCTATGACGAGGATTCTTTGGCCGAAATAGCCCGGGCGGAGGAAGCTGCTATCTTGGAGGATTTAGGCCTTGACGTGTATGCCAGTAGATCTCATGTTACAAACGTGGACCCTACTGACAGTGGCTTGAGTGTTAAAAGATACGCGGCACACCCGGCCCAGCTCCCACACTCGGCTTTATATGAGCGAATTTTACAAACCCCTGACTCGGATCGGCTGTCTATTTCTGATCGCCGTCAAGATAAACGGCTGACCAAGGCGAACCAAGCGGCCTTCACCACCTGGTTGTCTACCTATGGACCAAATTTTAGTGTGCCACCACACCATCCTGGAAATGTCACTTGGAACGAATATCAAGATTGGATGCTGGAACACGTGCCTGCACTGAGGCATGTACTACGATTCTTGCCTTTCCCGGAGATGGCTGTTCAAGCGGCCCCCGCTGATTGGGTTTTGGCTTGAAGGGAACACGAAGTGTACCAGCACCGACTAGACACGCTCCGACGCATCGCCGATGACTGCGACAGCGATGCCAGGGCCCGCGCTCACTGCCTAACGTGGATAAATGAGTGCTCGACGGCGCAGTCGGTCGAAGCGTAGCTTTAGCGAGCTCTCACGACCGTTGGGTCGACTTAGGGCGCTACGTCGACTCTTCACTACTCCGCCCCAACCCGCCTGGTATTCCTGTCACTCATTGGTACCTCATCCATATCCTACCGTTTGCTGTCAAGGATTGAAAGTATACCCTCATGTGTCGGGCTCCTGGAGCCGCGAGCGCAATCTGGTATTTACACTTTCCAGCAATATTGGAGCTGTGCCAAGCGATCACGACCTCATCCGATTGGAGCAAGGTGCTGAAGCTTCCGCTTGGAGCGGCCGCGTGTCGCTTTACACATGGATTAGCGTCTGCAGTAGCCGCAGACGCATCTCATGTGCCGCGTAAATAAACGAGGCCCAGCTGAATTGCGTCAGGAAGGGGGTGAGCAGACCTCCTTGCTTGAGTTTTACCCGGTTCTTCCTTCTCAGGACCGGATGCGCACCCTTCGATCCGATTTTGACATGTTTCGCGCTGCTCGGTGGAAAGGTCGGCGCCGTAGGAAACGTGAGGACTTTCAACTCGTCCGCGCTTATCGACGAATGGAGATTCTATACCCGGCCGACCGGACCATGGCCCTGCTAACTCAAAATGTGAGAGATTTTGGGGGCTCTGAGCAAACCCGGACCGACTGGATCGCATCCTTTTAGCGACAGCACCAAAGGGTACACTTTGACGTGGTTTTTGTCCAAGAAACCATGTGCAAGCCCAAGAGATCCACGAAATGGTTCGACAACATGCGACACAATGGGGTTTTCGATCAGGTAATCACTGCCCGACGTTGTTCCACTGGTCTTCCTCCGACGGTAAGCGTGGCGGGGTTGGAATTCTCATTCACCCACGCTCGCGTTTTCTGAACATGGTCCCTTTCGCAAAATCTCATTGGTCACAGCATTTTATGGCGATTCAGGGCTATTACGAGGGACAAGCAGTAATACTCGTCAATGTGTATGCACCGACGGAAAAGCCGACCCGAGAGCTCTACTTTACCGGATTGCGGGACATTGCAATCCCTCAAGGGACTCACCTCTACGTTGGTGGGGATTTTAAACTCCACTCTCCACCCTGACCATGATCGCAGCTACAGTAGTCTCACGAAATATTACTCGCCGGCACTCAGACTGTTGCTGGAACATTGTTTGCTAACTGACTCAACCCTTTACGCTATGCCGCGATTACAAGAGAAAAAGGATATGCACCATTACCGCACTAATTACCATACTTATGAGTATACGGTGCCGGGACATGAAAGAGCTTCAAGTCGGCTAGACCGTCATTACATGATTGATGCTTCCCGTTATTGGGCACTAACTACGGAACTTGACAGATACGGGCTCACTGGAGACCACAAAGGAGTCATACTTCATCTCCGAGACCCCGCAAACCCAGTAAGAATCAAAAAGGAACCGAGAGTTTGTCCGTCCGTCCGTATGCTCAGACACGGGTAGATGACTACGTCCGGAATCAATTTAATCTGCTCTCCACCACCATGAGCCACCCCGATATGTTGGCGGCAGAGGCGGCCACTAAATGGGTCTCCTTTAAGCATTTTCTGGTTGAGGGCATTCTATTCCGCCAACGCTAGGCGAAGAAAAGTCTAACCAATACTTATCGCAAAAAGATACGACGACTTTATCGACGTTTTGATCAACTGCAGGACATACTTGCCGCGTCGGACTTGAGAGGGCGACCTGATAGCACCCTAATTGATCATAATGACGGGATTCAAGAGCTAGAGCGGGTAGTTGCGAACACTAAACGGAACTGGCTTCGATACAAGCAGCGACGGCTTTTTCGACAACATACCTGGCGTAGGGGACAGACTACTAAGGATTTTTTTCGGCGTATTTCGTGTAAGTTCGGGGACAATGTCATCCCCGTTCTAACACCGGGGCTGACCAACCTTCTTGCGACCAGCACGACAAGGCAAACACACTCGCGGACGCGTAAAGTCCAATTCTCAACGGGCCGGCGGCAGCCGCCCCGCCGGCATCCATAACAGACTGGATGGCTCGGGGCCCCTCTGACGACCTAGGCTGTCTGGAGATGAATGATCTATTTACGACGACGACGGTAACTAATGCCATCAAGTCACTTAAAAGGGGAACGGCGTGCGGGCCCGATCGCCTCGGCAATGACTGGTATATCCAGTATTCCGACCTTCTGATTCCGTTGCTCCTGCACATGTTTACTCTGTGGTTGAATTCGTCACATTATACTTTTTACGGCATCTCCCAGATGGTTTGTTGGTGGAAGGCATGGTTATTCAGCTGTTCACCCGTTACTACACATGTTTACTCTGTGGTATAACGCGAATTTATTCCCTGTCTCTTTTCTGGAGACGGACGCATTCTGCCTAAAAAGGCATGGGAAGGTGGTTACCCGCTCAATTACCGCCCCTTATCACTGCTTAACTCGGATTACAAGCTGATGACGCGGATCATTGCGACCCAGTTACGGGGCACCCTCCACCGGCGGATCCACTCGCACGAACATGGATTTGTGCCGAACAGGAGTATTCACTCGGTTATAGACTGCTTTTGTAACGGGGCACCCTGAAGCTTGTACTGGTGACAGTACAAGCTACTTATTCTGATAACAGAATAAGGCGGTGCCTCGTAACTTCACGTACACTCGTACGTGCAGAGGAAGACGGTAAGAAGAAGCGAGTACTCGGTTAGAGTAAAAAGTAGAACTGTATTTATAATAGTTAATGTCTGCAATAAATCACTATTTATCTTCATCTAACTATGTCTAAATACAAGTGTGTAAATCAGTTATCTGCTCACCACTCATTGCGTGCGTCTGTCGTGGCGCGTCTTCGTTGGTTGATATAATGGCCTATATCAACCAATTAGGAACTACTTGGAAGTGCTACAGAATATTGTCCTTATGACAATATTCTGAGAATATAACTCTTATAGTTATATTCTATTAACAATTTCTTATAAATTGTTATGTAACGATTCACCCCGTTACATCACCCCCCTTAACCATCAGTCACTTTAGTGACTGATTGACTAAATGGATACTCGTCCCAAATCATTTGGGACGGGGTTTGCACTTGTTGGTCCGCGTCCGCTTTCCAACATCTCATCGCATGGTAAACAAGCCCATGCGATGCGCGAGCAAGGCCGCCGAGAGCGCGTCTGCACGTCTCTGTGCGGACGCCGAAGCAGAAACTACAGCAACTGATGTCCCATCGGTTGCTGAATCGACTCAGCCTGTATCACCTGGTGATGCAGGCGCTGGTCATGAAGACACTCGTGTCTTCACAGAGTACGAGCTCGGTGTCTCGTACTCTCCTGATACGGATGACGGATCCGTATCGACGGCAATTGAATCCAAGCCGCCTGCCAAGCGTGGCATGGACGATGCTTTGCGTCGCAGCATCTTTGGTTCATCTGATGAGTCAGATGAACCATCGCCGAACGAAGGCGCTCGAGGTCGCGAGACTCGGGCGCTAATAGTGGTGTCGTTTCTCCAATGGACACCACTTCACAGCGAGGTGCCAGTACTTCTGTCGGCACGTCGCAGGAAGAGCGGGACCGCAATGTGTTGCGTCTCGCTCCAGAAAAGAAGGCATGGATGCCTCCTAAATCCGTCATGGATCACTTGTCGGCGACGACGAGTGATCGTTATCGAACACGATTGTTCGATTCGTCAAGGATCCATCACCTTGACCCCAGCGCGAAAGACTATCGCGCTGAACATGAGTTCTTCATCGATGCTTTCTTCAGACATCGATGGTACAGTGGGAATCACAAACGTGATGGTCCCTCACTACTTCAGGCGTGGAACGCCTACATCCATAATCTCGAGGATGTATGTCGTGACGCTTGGAACGACAAACTTATCAAAGCTCGTGATAAGTTTGAAAAGCGAACCCCGACAGGTGCACGCTATAAGCTGCATCGTCTGTCAAGGGAGAAAGGATTACCCTGCCTCTCTTGGGGAGACTCGTGCCCATGTTGTGTGAACAACTCTGCACGAGCACCTAAGGAGGCTTACCTCCTTACCAGCCCGTGGTGGCGCGTACGTGTCTCTACTGAGATGTACGAAGGGATTGACAACCTGAAATCCCTTTACGACCGTGCCGGGAAGACTTTCTCCGGCGGTCCTTCTGCGGCACAGGATGTGTCGCGTCGTACTGCTCGACCAGACCCAGTACGTCAACCATCAATTGGGAGCGGGGCTCCCAAGAATCCCAGGACGGGGGATAGCCGCGCCACCGGACGAGGTAACTCGTCCGACGTCCGTTCACGTCGCGGTGGTTCAACAGCTGCTCTACTAGATAGCGCTGGCCACCGCGAGAGTCCTCTAATGGAGGTGGAGGAGGAGGAAAGACGCTCTCCACACGATCATGTGGATCGGTGTGTTCCCGAGAGCATCTTTGATCGCGTAACGCAAGGGTTACGCGACGATCTCGAGCATGAGCGGAATAGGCGTCTCCAGATGTTGGACACTGCCTCGAAGCATCGAGCTGAGTTTGCCTTTGCTCAGCTTGAGAACGAGAGATCTCTGACATCTCTTCGTGACGAGCTAAGGGTAGCTCGTGGGATTGTTGATCGGTCTCGGGCTGAGATAACTGCTCTTCAGACCCTTGTTGATGCCCACCATCGGGAGCACAAGGCTCTCTGTGAGATGCTTGAGCGCAAGGGCGTTCTTCATCGGAAGAAGCAGCGTACTGATGGTACGGCTTAAGCCGACCAACGTAAAACGTGGGATGCGTTCGCATCTTACGTGGTAACTCGATCGTGTATGCATTGCCTAGGCGGTGCAATACACGAAATGGGCCAATGTACTTGGGTAGTAGTTTACTGCTACCCAAGTTAGTCACTACATGTTTTGGTAGATTAACCGTAGACAGTAGGACTAAGTCACCTTTATTAAATAAAAGAGTGTTTGCCCTTCCATTCTTGTCAGCGTTTTGCTTTTGCTTATCCACCGCTTCGGCGATGGAGTCTTGCACAAAACGGACTACCGTTTCACGAGCCAGTATGAACTCATCTGATGACTCGTTAGCTTCAGTGTGCTGTGAGCGCACTGCAGCAACAACAACCTTTTCTTCAGTGAGGGCTTCCGCACTCTCACTGGCATCATTGTCTTCAGTGAGGGCTTCCGCACTCTCACTGGCATCATCTTCTTCGATATCGATGTTATCGATATCGGCATCAAACGCAATGACTTCTTCGTCAGAGCGTGATGAGCGTGAACCAAATCGGTTTTTGCTCGCGCGAGTCCCTCCCCCCCTTAAACCAGAGTTACACTCTAGTAAGGTGGGTACACGCGGATGGCGCAAGCCATTCACGTAAAACAGTGTATGGGTCGTGGACGCATGCACCGAGTTGTTGATGGCAAACTCTACCATCGGCAAAAACTCACTCCAACTCTTAAAGGAGTGTACGTATCCTCGAAGTATCTCTTCAAGGACACGATTGGCACGTTCCGTCTGACCATCTGACTCTGGATGATCAGATGTTGACATCTTCAAGCGCGTTCCCCAGAAAAAAAAAAAAAGAAAAAAAAAAAAAAAAAATAGAGATGTATGTCTGAAAAAAAAGAACAAAAAGAAACCAAAAAGAGGGAAAAGGGGGTAAAAAAAAGACAAACGCCGGGACTCTCGGTGGGGTGTGTGGGAACCGCAAAGGTGTGCACTTTTTGGTGATCCAAAAAAAAGAGACCCCCCTCCCGCGGGGGGTTTTGGGGCCCGAAAAAACCTGTGAGATGGCCCAGCACTCAGCCGGAACCGGTAGAGGCTGTAAAGGTGCACGCAGTGAAGGACTTGACTTCACTCGTTGGCAGACTTCGCATGCGCGAACATACTTTCGCACAAACTGATACTGGCGGGGCCAGTAAAAGTCTCGACTTACCGTGAGATATGTTTTCTCTCGGCCACGATGTCCTCCTATAGGAGCATCGTGATACTCGAACATGATCCGCAAACGCAGATCAGTATCATCTGGAATGACAACACGTGGTGTGTCACCAGAAACGGCTGTATAGTACAGTAAACCGTTACGAGTAGTGTATCGATCTGATGCAGATCGATACGCAGACGACAATCGTTTCAACGATTCTCGAGACGGTTGGGAGAGATGTGACAACAACTTCACTATCTCACCATCTTGGGCGTATGCCCGCCTCACATCATCATACAACGTTGTAGATGGAACTGAGGACGTCATAACCGCAACAGTGACTGTCTCACTGTTGGGTTTCGCGACTGTTTCAAAGTCGGGACGACGTGAGAGTGCATCAGCGACGACATTAAGTCGTCCTGGTTTGTACTCGACCGTAAAGTTGTATTCTGCAAAGAATGACAACCACCGCGCCATTCGTTGTGAAAGGTGCGGGCTGTTCACTGCCGTGCGTAAGGACGCATGGTCAGTGTAAACAACGAAGGGTCTATCTCCTAATAGATAGACTCTGAACTTCGCTAGTGCATACTTCATGGCAAGGAGTTCCTTGTCATGCACTGGATAGTTCCGCTCAGCTGGTTGCAGCTGACGCGACTGATAGCAGACGACGCGTTCAACGCCTTCAAGGTCGTACTGCATTAATGCACAGCCGATTGCGAAATCGCTGGCATCACAGACCACATGAAATGGCCTGTCCTGATCGGCTATTGCTAGGACTGGGGATTGTATCAAGCTCTGCTTGATACCCTCAAAAGGCGTTGACATTCAGCGTTCCATAACCACCTCTCGTTCTTTTTCAACAAACGAGAGAGGTGTACAGTCATCTCGGCGTAATTGCGTGAATACTTATGCAAATACGCCGCTAGCCCAAAGAATTTTCGAAGACCTTTGACATCGACCGGCACAGGCCAGTCGGTGATCGCCTTGATCTTTTCGGGATCAGGACGTACACCGTTCTTACCAACGATGCACCCAAGAAGTGGTATTTCGCTTGCTGCAAATATACACTTCTTGAGGTTTGCATACAATTGATGCTTTCGCATGATTGTAAGAACTTGTCGGACGTGGTACTTGTGAACCTCAACGTCCGACTTTCCATCCATAGCTCGACTATGGATGAATACGTCATCGAAATAACTCGGCGCGAACTCTCGTACTGGTCTCAACAGATGTGATACACATCTGTTGAACGTGGCAGGGGCATTACTGAGCCCTTGTGGCATTACTAGCCATTCCCAGAGCATGCCGCTAGGCGTGCTAACTGCGGTATAGGGTATATCCCGTTCCCGCATTAGGATTTGATAGAAGCCATCCATCAAATCCATGGACGAAAAGATGGTACTCTTTGACATACCATCAATGATTACGTCCTTCCTCGGTATCGGCGTCTGAGCCGGTACCGTTGCAGCGTTCAATTTGTTGAACGCGTGCACTATCCGCCACCCTCCTGTTGCTTTTCGCACACAGAAGGTCGGAGAGCTATGTGGGGAAGTTGATTCCCTCACATGGCCCGCTGCTAAACGATCGGCAAAGAACTTGTCGATCGCAAGTACTTGTTCACGAGGCAGTGGCCACTGCTTCATGACACAGTACTTCGAGCCTGGTTTAAGCTCGACTTCGTGTCGAATACCTTTATCCTTCGGTAATTCGCACGGAACAGTTTCAGGGAATACATCCTTGAATTCAACCAAATCTTCATAGAGAGGATTTTCCTTGAGCGATTCCCATGATTGGGACTCATATCGCTCAATTCGTGTCTTTTCATCTAGGACACTCTCGTCCATAGATGAACTACTGAGAACTCTCTCGTTCTCAGTAAACACTGTTGCTGACCTTATGTCGGTTACATACTCGTCGTCAGCGACGAGTATGCAGATCTGCTTGACTTTGCCACTACGCAGATCACGCAAGAACCTTTTATGTTCGAGCGTTGGCAACTGAGTGATCTCCGAAGTTAACTTCGGAGGCGCAATCAGATCAAGTGTATAAGCGCCTACACATGATCCGTTATTGACTATGACATTCAATGTCTCTGTCATTTCCTGGGGACTTATTCCCTCAGGCTTCGAAGGACTTATTCCTTCGTCTTCCCGGGGACTTATTCCCGCGGGTTTCGGGGAACTTATTTCCGCCGTATTTGTAATCTTGGGACTTATTCCCTTTACTTCCTCTAGCTGGGGTTGCGCAACCACAGCGAGATCCTCTACGAAAGACTCTCCAGTCGATCTAGGATTATCGTTTCGCTTAACCTGAGCGATCGATTGTTTCTCTTCTAGATGTTCCCCTCTAGGGATACATCTTTGTCCCAGTCCACCCGACTTATTCGAGTGGTGGACCTTCGGCGCAGCCTGTGTTTCCTCACAGCCGCCGGAACTTTGCTCCGAAGTGTAACCGTTTGGTACACTAAGGTTTTGTGCAGTCGTACTAACGACCGTACCACAAGTGAGGCCATCGCACTCACTCGTAGTACATCCACACGCTTGTGGACGCTCCAAAACGTTCATCAGATGGCCATCTGATGAACAAGCGGCAGGCATCGTTACTGTCCGATGTTGCCAGTTTACCCGTGGTTCGTACCTTCTGAGCCACGGTATTCCAAGGATGACATCAAATTTGTCATCCAAATCCAATACGATAAAGTCATCGTCGTATTGGGTATCTTCTAGCGTATAGTGAATCTTCACTATACGCTTCATGACGGTTACGGATGCGCCTGTCGCAAGACGTACCGTCATCCTCGTAGGAGGTGTGTCACATTCACTGAATTTAAAGTGACCATCTTCTAGCGATTGGCGTCGCACAAAATTGTTGGACGCCCCACAATCGACTAGAGCTCGAAGGGACAACTTATTCGTCACTTCGAGTTTCAAGGTAATGAGTGAGATCTCATTACCTAGAGCAGCAACGCACAATGTCTGTGTGTTGGGAGCAACCTTCATCAAGAGGCCTACAAATTCTCTTGACGTTGCTGGATCAGTAGGGTGCTCCGCACCTACTGATCCTGTCCGTTTTTTGACGGTCCATCCCGTTGTTGCGTCTTTGCACCAACTGCGGACCCTCGTCCCTGCCCCTTTCTCATGGGTGGACGGTCACTACGCCCAGTGTCGCGAGACACTGGACGAGGGGCACTACACTTGTAAGCGTAGTGTCCTGTCTTTTGACATCTGTTGCATCTCTGCAACTTCTTGTAGCCTGTAGAGCGAGCCTTCTCGCTCTCTACATAACAGAGTTCCATCGGCTCTGGACCTCCGTTGTCATATCGTCTCGGTTGACGATATGATGTCGAGCTGGCGCGAGCCTGTCTCAGACTGAAGTCTTCCTGCTCCGCAATTGAAATGGCTTGTTCTAGTGAATCTAGTTCAAGCCGGAACAGGTGAGTCTTGACGGGACCATCCGCAAGACCCTGCATGAACACCGAAACCAACGTGTGTTCATCCACCGGATTGGAACTTATACAACTCGTGAGATGTCGTATATGTTGAGCGTAAGCGTGCACATCACGCTTACCTTCCCTGCTTGAGCTTCAAGAGTTCGGTTCGAGCTCTGAACTCAGCTCTAGGCGGTTCAAACGTTTGTCTGAGCCGCGACTTGAAGACTTCCAACGACCCAAACGCATATGGGTCGTGCAGCTTGAGCCCCAGTGCCCAAGTCTTGGCACGTCCTGCCAGATTTGACTGGGCAAATGCAACTTGCATATCCCCGTCGTCGATGCGACGCGCCCTTATGGCGTCATCCAATTCGACGAACCATCTCAAGAGGGAGTCTTCTTCGACCCCCTATACTTTGAGATGTCAATCTTCAAAGTCTCGGGTCGACGCGAGTGCATCGACCCGCCAGCAGCAGCCTGCTGCTGTCTCAACAGTTCAAACTGTTGAGCACCTTGTTCTCTCAACAACTCTGCTTGTTGAGAACCTTGTTGGTGAAGCAAGGCTACTTTCTCGCGTTCTGCGTCAAGTTCATTTTGAATGAACTTGGCGATAGTAGCATGTTGGGCATCTCTATTGAGAGCCTCTAGCATGACGCTAACAGCATGGATGCCCATGGTCGAACCCATTCGTTCAACCGCATCCCATTCGACATCGCTCAAATGGGAGTAGCCGTCACGCGTAGCGTGAAAGCTTTGGTCATCTTCATCATCCAACATATTCATGTTGGATGTGAACGCGGTCCTTGGACGGACTACGAAGTGCTACCAGGTGTAACGGGGCACCCTGAAGCTTGTACTGGTGACAGTACAAGCTACTTATTCTGATAACAGAATAAGGCGGTGCCTCGTAACTTCACGTACACTCGTACGTGCAGAGGAAGACGGTAAGAAGAAGCGAGTACTCGGTTAGAGTAAAAAGTAGAACTGTATTTATAATAGTTAATGTCTGCAATAAATCACTATTTATCTTCATCTAACTATGTCTAAATACAAATGTGTAAATCAGTTATCTGCTCACCACTCATTGCGTGCGTCTGTCGTGGCGCGTCTTCGTTGGTTGATATAATGGCCTATATCAACCAATTAGGAACTACTTGGAAGTGCTACAGAATATTGTCCTTATGACAATATTCTGAGAATATAACTCTTATAGTTATATTCTATTAACAATTTCTTATAAATTGTTATGTAACGATTCACCCCGTTACAGCTTTCACGCAGCCCAAGACGTCGCCTTACACACGGAAGATTTCCGTAATGCGGCCGTACTCTTATTGGATTTTGCTAAAGCATGTGATACGTTGGACCGGGCATATCTTCTTGCAGCACTCCGGCAACCCTAGCCATTTAGTGGATGTCATCCCTTCCCTTCATCACGGAACCTCCGGCTGCTTTCTAGCCAACGGGACTCGCTCGCGCAAGATACCGATTACCAGAGGTATTCGCCAAGGATGCCCACTGGCTCCCCTCCTCTTCATCTTGGCATTGCAGCCACTTTATCAAAAGATGGATGACCAAACGGGTTTCGAGGGCATCCTGCTACAGTCCGCTACGAACAAGAAAATGTTAAAAGTCGCAGGGTATGCGGATGATACGGCCATATACATTAAGACGCCAGCCGAAATCCCGAAGGTTCTCGCTACAATAGCCCTTTTTGGCGAGGCCTTGGGGTTGCGGCTCAACATTTCAAAAACGTTGGCTATTGCTTTGTACCCAAACGGACTATTTCCAGCTACTACGTGGCCGTGGCCGATAAAACTTCAAGGTGTCACGGTCTATCCACGCTATCTTGGTCTCCAGGTAGGATGCGGAGGAGTAGCTGATCACTCTTGGGCTCTTGCTGAGACTCAACTTCGGTAGAGGCTAAGATTAGCAAGCCATAAGACACTTACCGTGGCAAGACGAGCCACAGTGGCGAAGGCCATTATCATTCCCAAGCTACTTTACGTGGCACGCCATGCGTGGCCGTCCACCGCAACGGTAAAACGTTTTACCAAGTTTATTAAAGCTTACGTTTGGCATGGATATTTTGGCGACCTCGATAGTCACTGTTCGACCTGGCTGAATGAGCGCGTTGCCGGCCTTTCCAGCAAGTAGGGGGGCTAGCTATTTCCCAACTCAACGCTGAAATACTAGCTATGGCTGCAATCACCGTGGAAAAATGGAGCTCTACTGCGCGGGGTACGGATATGCTCGTAGGTGACATTCTGATGGCCTCGCAGAATCTGCCAAACTTACACCCCACCAGCTGTACGATCGGATACACGGCCCGTAGTTTCTCGGGTTTTCGGGTTGGGAACACGGTGTGGACAGCGGGGAGACGCATGATGAACGAGCATGGTCTCCCACGCCCGACACCCGAGCACATGACCGTTGTAGCAGAGTTTGCGACCCTTGTGGATGCGGCTCTTCCATTGTGTCTTCGGTGGGAACACAACACCTGCTCGATCGACATTTCGTCACTTCTTGGTGCCAATCTTGCACGCTTCCGTAAATTTATTCGAGCTACTTACGAATCGATGGTGGAGCAATGGTTGCCGTTATTAGAGCTCCGTTATTTTTGGCTACTCAATGAGAGCGGCAACCCCTTGCAAGACTCGGACAAATGGATCCAGGAGCTGTCTATAGGCCCTGTCAGCAATTATAATTCCTGGACATCGATTTCTGGGTCGTATCTCGTCTTTTCAATACGACGAATTAAGCCAAGTCCCCGTTTCAGACCCATTCTGGTTGCATTGATTGCCAATTTTCCTGAAATTATGTATGCTCGGAGGCCCGAGACTTTAATCCCGATCGTGACAGTGCCTTCTGACGCCCCCTTTGACGTATGGCTCGGTTCGGAGAGACGAGACGATGGTGGTGTCGGATTTATTATTACGACGGACGGTACACACACAGCTCACACCTTTTTTGCCTCTTCGTGGGACGAGGCACTGCTCTTCATTCAGCAGTGGACTGGGGGGACCTATCAAGTCTGTAAAGTGGGACCTCACCCGGCTTTACACAGGTCGGTGGAGACTAGAATACCCCGAGGACACTTAACGCGGTCCAGAGCGCATTATGAACAGGCGGTCTTAGCTGAGGCCCGGCGGATAGGGCTGCAGGAGGTCAAACACTGGCAAGTGGCCTGGTCGGGCGATAGTATGCGGTTAGGGGAGGCACTGAACACTATCTCGCGGGCGAAACTTCGACGCATAACTGGTGGTACGGTTTGGGCAGAACAGCTATGGTATCGCATTAAGCTGAGAGCCACTTCCATCTGGGACTCGCAAGGACAGGTTCCGGGGTGCCCCTTACCGGAGTGTCTTCACACTTACATGACCTATTCGCACCAATGGTGGTACTGTACAGCAGCGCAGACTCTGTGGCGGGTCTTTGCAGAACCGTGGGGGAGGCTAGGCTTAGCGGACCCGTCTGGGGACTTACAGGCAATATTTAACCTTAGTTTATCTCAGGTACCCAGGGGTATCTGGAACTACGTGAGGCGCTTATAAGGTCACTTACCGTCAGATCGGAGGCAAGGAATACGTAGCTGGTGTTTCGATATATTGGAGGACTGTTGGGTTCTTGGTGTCACGCACACCCTGCAAGCCATTTGGGCTCGTCGGTGTAGATGCAGGGATGGCGCCCTGGACAACTCTTCCTACCGGGCGAAGGCAATGCTTTTGGGCCGATTACGACAGGGTTGCCTGACACTACGTGATCTTACCATGGCGACAACTTCTCCTGATATCCGAGCGGCGTCTGATGTGGCTTACACGGCATTCGAAGACACTGTGACAGAAGAAGTGCCACGAATGTCTCCGCTAGCCGAGGACAGCTCCGCCGTGCTTTTCTTTAATGGTGGGTCTCGTGGCAATCCCGGCCCGGGTGGTGCGGGCGCTATTATAATTACGAATTCAGGGTCTTTAGAATCGGCCGGGGTGCGTTGGATGTGCAGCATATTCCTCGCAGCAAGCACTACAACACACAATGCGGCAGCATACAAAGCTCTCCTTTTTGGGCTTCGCAAGGCGTTGGGGTACCATCTACAACGCCTACACGTCGTTGGGGACAGTGACCTGATTCTTGGACAGCTACGGTGCAGGAGGCCGCCGCAGGCTCAACATCTTAAAGATCTGTACAGGCAATGTCGATTGGTGGGGGACCGGCTGGGCGTGGCCACGTGGACTCATCATCTTCGACACTTTAACAAGATGGCGAACGCCATGGCAAAGATCGCGATGGATTCAGGACGCAGCATACAGGTTCTCGGTCCTGAAGTGGCACTGTTGCCACCCGAATGGGCGGTCGTTACGACCTACTTACGTAGCGACCTGGGGCACTGGCATGACTTGCTATGGGATACGGCTAGACAAGCCGATAGACAGAGGGACGACCCTGAGTAAGCAACCTTAGATTGTTTTTGCTAACACTATTGGTAGTTAGCACAGCGGCGGGGGATGTGTAGGCTCCTACTAGACGGGCATTTTCGGGTCGTTAGTTTTATAACAACCAGACAACTACTTCTCAGTGCTTAAAATGGAAAGTAGTATTAAGAGTTAAGACTAGCGACCTGGGGCACTGGCATGACTTGCTATGGGATACGGCTAGACAAGCCGATAGACAGAGGGACGACCCTGAGTAAGCAACCTTAGATTGTTTTTGCTAACACTATTGGTAGTTAGCACAGCGGCGGGGGATGTGTAGGCTCCTACTAGACGGGCATTTTCGGGTCGTTAGTTTTATAACAACCAGACAACTACTTCTCAGTGCTTAAAATGGAAAGTAGTATTAAGAGTTGAGACTACTGCTAAAATGCATATATAAATTCCCTCATAAAGTGATCGCTCATCCAGAATGTTCGAAGAGCCCTGTCCCTGCAAGTTGCCATAAACACGACACACAATTCATGTCGTGGTACGTGAACCTCAACAAGTTTCTCTAAATAAATGAATGTAATGTACTAAAAAAAAAAGAAGACATCGGAGGACTTTTACAAGATGCTGAAAGCCTTGAACGACAAGAATGTGAGCAAAAAGTGGTATGAATTCTAGCTGAATGAGGCCGGACAAGCGGTCTAAAAACGCAGCGCAGTTGTTTCCCAACCAATGCGGATAATTGCTCTGGAAGCAGCGAGTTAGTCGTACTTGACCCACACGAGCGTAAGACCCTGCGGCGGCGCACCCTGGCCTGCTGTTCCCCGATGCTTCGCTGCTAAAATCATTGGAATACCGTCTGGGCTCAACCTGCCGGACCCCGCGTCCACGATCGTGCCCACCAGGTTGCGCACCATCTTGTACCTGAATCGGTCACCGTCAAAGACCAGTCGTATCCTCGTGGCCACATCCCCTTCGTACTGTACATCATCTGAGCCGTCCTCTTTCTCGACATGGAGCTGGATATTGAAGACCGTGCAGACGTTCCCGTGCCCTTCATCCACAGATTTGTGCGGTGTAAAAGACGAAAAATCTTTTGTCAGAGGCGGTGCCATCAGGTGCTTCACCGCCGTCCGCATCTTGGCCACGTCCAGCGACTTGCGCACATGCCACACATTACGACGGCGTGCTACAGGCCGTAACCCGCCAGAGAGCACTTCGTACTCGTAGCGTTTGTATGCAGCGTCCAAGCACGGGTCGAAACTGGCCTGGGCCTCAGTCAAAGTGGTCATGCTGCGACACTGGACGTCATCAGGCAGGCGGTTGTTGAGTGCATCACGAAAGATGCGGTCTGACGCGCTGCAACGACTGACGACCAGAACCTCCTGCCCTCGTGCGTGTACACCCGTGTCGGTGCGCGAAGCAAAGCGTAGTCTCGTAAGCGCCGTCTCGCCTGTGGTGCGACTCAGTGCGTCCTCAATAACTTCTTGTACGGTGCGTATCAAACTCGGCTGGTCCTGTGCCTGGGAGCCGCAGAAATCAGTGCCGTCGTACTCTACGACGCAGCGGCGGCGGATCCACGGACCAGCGGCGTCCACGTGGAGGAAGGCGCTAGGCGGCATCTTGTATTTCCGGCCCTCACTCATTACGACCACTGACGTCCAGTCGATCTGTTGGCGTAAAATCTCATCTGCAGCTATATCCTGATTGCGACTAGTAGCACTAGCAGTATACCGGATCTCCTCGGTGGCCATCACGTTGGACGGAGAGTTCTCTACGCGTAACTGCATTTCAACGCCGTTTATTAGGTACGGATTGGTCGTAGATAGCAGCCTCTTTTTCGTGGAGGGGGTGGATGGAGTGCATCACAGGGTAGACGCACCCCTGGATCACTTGAGTGCAGGCATAACCGGCGTGCACGGCAGAGCGCTGTGAGTTGTCACACCCGAACCCGTCCCTCCAGAGCATTGACAGTCCAAACAGACACTTGCATGCTGTAATTATAGCAGCAACGTAGCTCTCTGCAAAGGTGACCACCGTCGCGTGTGTCGGACGGTACGCACACACGCAGATTGCGGTAAATCTCGCGTTTGTGAGCGGTCCAGGAGCTGAAAGGCGCGGCGGGAGTACTGCCGTGCTGTTAAAAAGTACTGAATACTACGGATGTATGTCGGTCCACCAACGGTGGGCGAGTTCACACTTGCGCAACGAAGGCGCAGCAGTCGGCACTGAACTTGGTGATGGACAAGTGGGAGAACGTGTAACTAATGGAACACCCCTACGTGTGCGCTAGAAATCGGGGTGTCCGAGGTCGACGAAGTAGCAGAGTTATCTGACACTCGCACTGCAAAGGAGGCAGCTGGTACGGGATTCAGGCTCTTGCGACAGGCGTCCGAAGCTGAGGTGGCCACTCAAACCGGACGACTTCACTCCTCCTGAGTGCAAAATAGTTGCAAACACGAAGTGAACGTGTTCAAGCTGTAAAGGTCCGAGACTGGCGAAATCTTCTGCTTCCAGCCGAAGCTGATCCATTTGACTACCTGATGGTTCTATGACTTTGAAAGAGAACCGGCTAGGACATTTTCATGCGTCTTTAGTCGGACCACTTATCAGGTGACGGTTGTCCAGGACACAATCCTTGCATCGGGCTTGTTAAGGTTCCTACACTAGCAGCTTGTTTTTCTGCAGCCAACGCGGCCGGCAGCAGCTCTGCAGCATTTATTCTAGCAGCACAGCGTCCTTGAGGACGACGTCGCCAAACGTCGTCGGCTTTATAGTCCAAACCTTGCAGAAAAGAAGCTGACTGACGGACTGAACAAAATGGCAGCGATAGTCGACTGGACGTGGCTCTACGCGACCCCCAACGGCATCGTGGCGCTTCAGGAGCTCGACTCGGATGTTGTCACCCTCAAGCGACCTCGAAGACCAACTGATCTTCCGGTCGCCGTTCGTTGTATCGTGCTAGTCACGGAGCTGAGCTTAGTCAGTGGTGGCGCCTTCATGCTGCTGTTGACGAGCTCCTCGATTGGAGTGCTAGTGCGCAGCCCCTCACACGTGCTACTTGCAGCAACTGCGAACGATCCAGTGGTGGAGGACACGTTCGTCCAGATCTGCGAGACTGTAGCGTTCGGATACGGCCTTGTGGCTTCCATGAGCTGCTTCTTTCGTCGATCCAAGCAAGACCTGGCACAAAGACTCACGGGATGTGGATGGTGCGGTGTCAAGACCATTAGTGTATCAGTGGCCATACACTCTGCAGCTATACTCGTGCTCGTACTGCTGCAGGAACAGGCTAAAGTGCAGGTTCTAGTGTCGTGGTGCAATGTCGAAGCAGCGATGCATCAGTCGGACAGACCACTTGCAACGGCAGAGATCGTACAGAACCTATTGCTTGCACCAGTAAAGGAGGAGCTCTTTTTTCGAGGAGCAGTGGTGCTAGTGACCATCAATCGGATGCAAAGTGTCAAGTGGAGCGCTGCTGTCTCCGCTATTTTGTTCGCTACTATCCATCTGGCCAACACGAGGCACGTCGGAGCACAATACTCGGTATCCTACGTGGCGTTTCAGGTGCTTTGGGCATTTCTAGTTGGGCTCTTTCTCGCTCTCAAGTTTGCAGTCTCCGGGTCCGTTGTCGTATGCCTCGTGTTGCATGTCATCAACAACACGTTCGCTTTGGCGATGTCCAAGACAACTGAAGTCAGTCTCACACACCCACTCGTCGCGTTCTCAGTAATCGCGGCAGTGGTGATCTACTGCTTGGCAATTACAAAGCAGCTACAACGGCTTCGACCTGTACAACTGAAGAAACAGCTTTGAAAGACGCTAGGGACAAGTGTTGATGTCGTTGAGTAAATACTAAGAAGTGCGCGATTCTAGTGTGATGCCTGGCTACTATTCGACACAACTTCGACCTTCTTGCATTCCCGACGAGGAGCGCAAGAGCACCAAATCGAGCACCAGAGGCACCTCAACTGGATCGGCGTACATTGTCCTACCGATGGTTGCCACACGCGCGAGGACCGTGATGCAACGTCTGCGCCAAATAGCAGACGACAACACAAGTGTTCAAGCCACACTCGATAGGCGCAGTCACCTCGTAAACTTGAGGCTCTCGCTGCGCAGGAGCATAATAGCATACACACCGGAAAAGGAGACGACACGGGAGTGACGACATGGTAGGTGGAGCGTACAGCAAGAAACGTTTGTCATGGACACACTAACGCTCTAGTTTTTATGCGCAATGTTGTCGCAGGAACACTGTGCGCGACCCCCTGAGATATCGGCATGGCTGCTGCTGACAGAACCATGCTGACTGCTCAAAAGGTCTGAGTGGACGACGGTGCTGCAGCAGGCTGCCCGTGTCGCAAACTATTTGTCAAGCGATGCACTTTCTGCCAACAACCATCCAGGGGTGACAACCCGACCCGAGACACTCGTGAAAATAGGCTGCGGCTTATCAGCAGCACTCGCCCAAGAGGTTCAACTGAAAGCCTCCTGGCCTTGCTTATCTGTTTGTATTGTTTGACAACCGCCCAATAAATGGCACGATCGCCATCCAGAGTTACTCGGCACTTTTTCAAACAGCGTCAGGGGATGCTAACAGTATCAAAACCAATCTGTAGACAGAGGCTTTGCCACCGTCACTTGACCACAGTCGCGCAGAATCGGTGATGTCACTATAGGCGGTAACGTCGCCCAGCTAGCTGATCGTTTCAGTTTTCCAGTCTCGATTAGCTCAGCTGATTGTTGCTGCTGAAGCCGTTCGTGATGCTGTCGTAGTCTTGCGTTGACGTGCCTGGACTCACGAAGTCAACAAATTGCAGGCACATGGCTTTGTACGGTCGATATACACCGGCCGCAATGTCATTCGCTGACACCAATCTCTCAGATGAATGGCCAGCATTGTCAAAACGTCCTATCATCGCTTTCGTCTGAAGTACATTCGGTACAGTTCAATCCAAAACACACCGCCCGATTTCACGATAGCTGCACACCATGACCCACACACTGCAACTTTATATTGAGTTCTCGCTGCGCGTCGATCCAACCATCTGTCGCTATCATTGGTCCGACACTAGCAACTGATGCATTGCAGCGTCGGTGTTATCATCACTACTTGTGCTTGTTGTTGTCACCGGTCGGGCCTCGCAATAATGTGCAATCACAAGCGCAATCAGTGCGTTATTTGTAATATTCACACAAGTTACAAATGGGGCGGTAATCCACTCCATTGCAGTCAAATACGACAGTAAAACAGCTCTTGATCCGGTGGGAACCCCAAATACAGCGCCAAGAGCTGTTGCCAGCGCCGCTGTGTTGTCTCCACCTGGTAGCGGCGAAACCACACTGGCGCTAATCACGTTAACTAGCACCATCAAGCAGATTGTTCGCGTCGATCGTGTCGCCGTCTGTTCATCTTCATTCATGCCTGAAGCCGAAGCAGACAGCACAAAAAGCGTGCTGATTGATAGATAGAGAGCAGTGCCAGTCTGGTTGAGAACTGTGCTCATGCAGCATACAATGAACGCTACTGGGGGCGAAACACGCTTGCTTGCTACAACAGCCGAAATAGTCGCTGGTAGCGCGACGAGAGATGATCCGGAGCTTAGAGCTAGCAGTTGTGCAGGCAAAAGGTGCTCGAGAAACGCGAACGGGTTGGATAGCGTAAACAGCGTAGCCAGGGATATCATAACGACCACGTCTAAGATCAAAGCAAGTAGCAGCAGCGTCATGAGCGCCAAAGCAGTAAAGCCCTCATCGCTTTCGTCTGAAGACAGTGATACCGACGGTTGGAGCAATACGCTGCTGAACATGAAAATCACGCTGACAGGGAGGTGCGTCTGTAGCCAACTCAACACGCAACATCCTGCAACTTCTGCCTGTTCAAACAGCTGCAGAATCATCAATTTTTCACCCAGCTCCGATTCTTCCTCAAGGAGACACCCACCGTTTTGTTCATCTTCTTGTCGTTTTTCCACTAAAAAAGAACGTATCAACGCCGAGCCAAGCACCAGACCTCCCACCATGAGACTCAACACATCTCCCCCGACAAATGCGCCCGCTAAGCTCTCTATAAAAATGCTTTCCACCACCTTCACGGCCTGCTCCGAAATACCCAACGCTGTCTGCGTCGTACCATCAGCCACGAACGTCCGTGCCACATCGTCAATTACAAAAGTGGTGGCATTCACAGAGCACGCAAGCGTCCCATTGCTCTGTAATGCCACAGATCCAGTGTGCACATCCCCGGGACACCTAAACTCCACTGCAGCACTGGACAACGACAGCCCCCAAACCCGCGCCAGTACCGCGCTACGTGGGAGGACACTGTGCAACGTCGCGGCTACTAGTGCACCCATAACACTGGCCAGAAGCGTGGACAGCACCGATACTGCGAGCGTCGCTAGCACGAGTCGCAGCCATTGAATCGGCAGCTGCCGCGTCTGGAGTTGCGATCCCGTGAGCGTCGCGTGCAGAGCCACGAGCGGTAATGTGATTCCTACAAGCGTCTGAAGCACCAAATCGCCGGGAGCTTGCAGCAGCCATTGCACGAGAGTAGTCGAGCGAACACCAGCCAGAGCGATGGCCAGGGAGATGGAGGCGCCGCAAGACACGCCGAGGAAGAGTGGCAGGAGACGCGGCAGGGAGACACAAGACAACGAAGATCCGCTGGGAGGTGAAGCTGCAGCAGTGGACATGGCGAGTGAAATGACAGTGTGGAGGTTCGTTCAGCTTCGCCCGCATGGCGAAGAGGGAGAAGAGACGCGCATCTGGTTGACGAGCTCTCGACGACACCTGCTCGGGACGGTAAACAAATGTGCACCACATGAGCGAACACCTTCGCAGCGCGATTGAACGGTAGTGTGGCACACACCAAACTAGGCGTTTCTCACGTTGATGTGCGCTTGACTGCTGAGTCTCCATCCACTGCAGCTTCGACTTGATCATGAGGCAACGCAAGGACCCGCAGCTTGCAGCGCGTGCGAAGCGCTTCGTCTTCGGTATGACCGCGGCCGGTACGAACCTGGTGCTGATGGCTGCTGTACATTGAATCGTCTGTTTTTCTGGTCGTGAAGACCGTTCGGTTGCTATCTTTACCGAAAATGAACTACAACAGGACCTGACTCAAAACTCTGACTCGAATGCTGTGACGCAGTAACTGGAACGTTCCGAGCGCTGGCGGACAAGGAAGTGCGCAGTGTCTTCTCAAGGTGTAGCTGAAGATGTAGCATTACTACTGTCCTCTCTCCTTACATGCTAAAACTCTGTTTGATGCTGGCAGGAGCCTGAAGGTGCTGCTGGTTCTGGCGTTTGTGCTGTCCGCTCTACTGCACCTCATGCTGCTTCCTGTAGAGTGGATCAGTTCACTCTTTCTCGAGCCGGAAACAGTGGACGCCAGTGTGCGCGCCTTCCGCTATGCAGCTGCTTCGACTGTCCCAATCCTTCTCGTTAGTGCGTGTCGCTACTTTAGCGTGAAAATGTTCGAGAACGCTTTTTTTGCCGGGCTCGCGACACGTGATGCAGAACTGGCAGAGAAGATTCGAAAGGTATGACATAACGTGTCGATTAGAGACCTGCCGGATTGGACATACAGGCTGACTATTGTGGCTGATACTGCAGAGAAAGGCAATTTACTGGGACTGGGAATATGCCCATCATGTGATGCGTTTTGGGCTGCGCCAGCTTGGCTTCGGACTTGTGGCTCTTGTGGCGAAGCCAATTTTGGGTATGCTAATCCCCGTCGCACAGTTCGGCTATCGGTACGCCCTCGTAGTTGCTGCTGCTGCCGTGGTGTTATCATCTCATGTTTACTGACTGAATGATGCTGGTAGGATTCGACACATGGAGTTGACTTTCCTCTTGCCGCTTTTCGTGGCCTTTGTCTTCCCGGCAACGCGTGAGACGACGTTGCAGCTCGTACACATGTGGCTGGATTCGCGGGCCATGGTCCGCGAGCTCTTTGACCCGATTATCGCCCGTCTCAAGTCTGCAGCGAAGAACGGCGATCGAAACGTCAACACGGATTTGCTCACGGACATGGAAATTGACAGCGAGATAGCCGACAGTCGAGAGGAGCAGCGGGAATGGCATCAGAGTGGGAGTGACGCCGCGCGCCTCGGCTTTGGACTTCTTTTTTGCTGCATGCTGCAGCTTCCTTTCCTCGGTCCATTCACGTGGTTCATTGGATTCGCTTCTGCTGGGCTGTTTGCCCCAGAGCTTGTGGAGCTCAGTGCTTTCAGCGCTAACAAGGCGACGTAATGTATGCAAGAAGACAAGGCAAGTAGTGATATGTAGGATGGTGATAACCCCAAGGCATACATCGTAGTTATTCGACGAGTGAATTACGATGTTTCACTCTTTGACTCCGCTTGTTTGTCGGATAATACCGAAGATACCGCTTCACCTAACGGCCATACCGGTACAACAACACCGTGCCAGTCAGTCGTCGACCGTTCCAATCGCCGCCGCCGCCGTCGCCATGCTGCAGTTTCTCGCCAACTCGGACAGTAATCTCTTCGTAGGGGCTGGCGTGGCCTTGGCAGCAGTACTGGCCATCAAGTACGTGAACGTGCGAGCTGAAGCAGCTCAGCAGCGTGCGTACGAGGCAGCCAAAGCTCGGCAAGAAGTGCTCAAGGCGGAGCGGGAGAAACCCATCAAGCGTCGGTTCTTCTCACCGGAAGAGCTATTGCCCTATAATGGCGAGAACGACCAGCCCATTTACATTGCAGTGCTGGGCGAAGTGTACGACGTGAGTCGCAAGCGAGACTTTTACGGTCCGGGCGAGGGGTACCACCTCTTTGCGGGTCGAGACGCCTCTCGGGCGCTCGCGAAGATGTCGTTCGAGGAGGAAGATCTGGACAGTGCCGACCTCTCGGACTTGAGCTTCATGGACAAGGAGACGCTCAAGGATTGGGTTACCAAGTTCTCTGTGTACAATGGGTACCCGAACGTAGGGCGCGTGCTGCGACGGCGTGACTTGACGCTTGAGGAGCTCAAGCAGTTTAACGGCGTGGACGATCCACGGAAGACTGTCTACGTGGCTCTGAATGGCAATATCTATGACGTGACGCTGGACGGAATGGACCATTACGGACCAGAAGGAGGCTACAAGCAGTTTGCAGGGCGAGACTGCTCGCGCTCCCTCGCCTGCATGTCCTTCCTGGACGAGTATCTGGACGACCCGACGCTGGATGGGATCACTGAGCAGCAACGAGAGACGCTGATCAAGTGGGAGGACAAGTTCAAGGAGAAGTACCCCGTCGTGGGCAAGATCATCACGTAGGCGAAGAGTTTGGGACGACATCGCTCGTGCGTAAAAACGGCAGCTGTGAACGCCGCAAGCGCTTATCAAACGGTGATCTGTCTGAGGTCATGTTCAAGTGTGTTCTCGATGAGGTGGTTTCTTGACTACGTCGTGTGTCAAGACAAACATGCATGCAGTCATACGCAACACGGCAAGCACGATGAGTTGTTCATGTACGACCTCTACCGACGTTAGGCTGGGATTGAGATGATGCCATGCAAAAGCTGCTTGTAAGGTAGTTGACCGACGTAGCTCCTGACGCACGAACGTTTACAGCTTATATGATGAGCACATCTAGTTGACACGAAAGAGGTTCGGAATGCCATCACCGCTGGTACCTCACTGAGGTTGTCCCTACACAGGACCCTGTCATCCCTTCCATGCACGGTAGGAAGAGAGTGTTGCACTGCAGTGTCGTCGAGTTCAAGGTGAACTTGACATCGTACGCTCATTCCGTCGCTGTCTGCCGATCCCCCACAGTCTAAATGACGCTATCGTATCGTTGCCTCTCGAGGTTTTGCATGTGACATCGCCAGAGGAAGACGCCTCCGCTCACCTCAATGACGCCGGCAACAAGGAGCACAATGAGGCCTGGTAAGAACGTCTTGACGAGAGACAGCGTCTTCTTTAGCGTGTCTAGCACGCTTGCCTTGGCCTCGCCAGCCTCCTGTACCCAAAATGTCGGCAGCACCACCTCGGTTGGCAGCATGGGCCACACCAAGTCGCTCATGGAAGCGTTGGGCGCAGTCATAGAGGCCGCTAGTGCGTACGAGATCTGTGAGCGCTTACGGGCGCTAACGGTTTGGCCCGTGCCCGCCTCGATGTCCACGAAAGTGCCGTACGCGCTGTTGAAGCTGTCGCGGAGGACGCCTTCCGAGTCGTACATCGAATCGACTGTCATCACTGTGCCGTCGCTGTTGGTCATTTGCACGGCCTCAAGCAGTGACGAGTCGCCGGAGATGAAGTAAGGACCGGACAAGTATGACAGGAAGCCCGTGACAAAGCTGAGCTGGTGCAACCCATTGACCGGGACACCCGTGCCTGTGGCAGTGTTACCGTCCGTGTAGTCAAAGACGTCGGTGCGGGCGCTGAACCGATGCAGGGAGACGCCATCGTAGTCCACGATCGTGTTCACACTTGAGATCGGGATGGCGATCTTGGCAGCACCTGTGTACGACTCGAACGAGTCGGCCGTGGTCTGCTCGGCCATGCCACTGATGGTCACGCCGCCAGGTTTGAGTGCCGTTCCGTCCGCGCCTGACACGTTAAAGCACGTGACGTTAGCAACGGGCGACTCGCAGGTGGCGTAGCTTGAGAACGCATTGAGCTCGGCCAGCGTCGGATTGCGGCGTTCGCCCAGATCCGCCCACACAGGAGCGACGGTGAAGCCGTTGTACTCCACGTATGTCCCGATCTTGGTGAGGTCGTCACAGCCCGTGCGCTTTGTGTAAGTATTGAGGGTTGACGCGTCCGGGGTATTCTCCGAGTAGTCCAGTCCGGAGCTCTCGACGACACCAGGGAGAGGTGCAGCACACAATCCCGTGCTCGTACAGAGGCCGCAAGTCGCGGCAGTAAAGTCGGCAGCTTCTTCGGTGCCGTATTCGGCAGCGTAAATGGACTCGATAGCGGCACACATGCCATTGTTGAGTGCTAGTACAGCTGCGCCCTGGGTGCATTGGGAGCACACCTTTGCAATGGCCAGGCAGCTATCACCTCTGCAGGACGCGCATTCTGCGTTGAGACTCGGCTCGCACGTCCGGACGTAGTTGGTGCCTTGGATCAAACCAGCCAAGAGACTCGGATAGCCGAGCGCCCACTGCGACGCCGTCCGCTTGACAAAGAGACCGTTGTATGCGAATCCAGAGAGGTCCAAGTCGAAAATAGCTGCTGGGCCAGCCGTCAGGAACCTCGTCACGGCGTCGTCACTAGTCACGGTCTTCATAGCTACCGGATCCAGGGAGTTGAGGCCGTTCAGCCAGCGCATCATCTGCTCGCCGTGTTCCGTGACAGTCGCAGCGATTGCAGTCACGTTTTGCCCAGAAGCAAACGATCGTGCAGCCACCGACGCCAGCAAGTTGAACTCCCCGCCAGTAGCAGCGATGACGCTGAAGTATCCCGCGTCGAAGCTCACGATCTCGTCCGAGTCGGAACAACCGACACAGCTCCTGTCAACCTCGAACGTGTGGTACGTGTACGTCTTGTACGTGACGCTCGAGGCATCGGAGGACAGCGAGACGTCGAGTTTAATCTCGCGGCGGCGGTACACGTACGGCCCCATCTCCTGCACTTGCAGCTTGGCATTTGTCGTGAGGTATTCGTTGGCGTTGGACGCGTTGAGCATGTACATGGACACGTAGTAGGGCGAGCAGTCGTCGCAGTCTCCGAAGGGGTCCCGGTAGACCTCCTCCGAAACCTCGTCCTCGGAGCAGCGAACAACTCGATCTTCGATTGCTGAGTTCACGTAAGCAGGCAGGGCCGTGCCGTACAGGATGCCAAGGACTGTGGACAACGATCCCGCAACTATCAGCACAATAGCCCAGAGTTTTGGACTCCCGCATCGGTGACGGTGCAACTCGACTGGCTCGTAGGAGGTTATAGTTGGTGACGCCTTTTCAAATTGTCGGAAGGCGACGTTGGACGGCTCTTTCGGGGACAGGATTGTCATAGCGGTGAGGTGACGTCCGGTCGGGTTGAAGAACTACCGGGGGCTTGAAAGTTGTTGCGGTGGCAGGCAACAGCAAGTTGACAAGTGAGTGGCGGAGCATGAATGACAAGTACGAGGCCAGAGGTTTTCTTCTTCTGTGGATCGTCGTTCGCATGGGCTGCGGAGGTGGTACATGCGACTCGGTTCGGGAAAGACGTGGTGGTCGAGGTCAGGATGACCCGAGACCAAGGCTTCGTGGCTCCCGTGCACGCCGAAGACATGCTGTGTTCACTTTTACCCACTATCGAATGTTGTGCTTCGACCATGTACTCACTCGACCACCACCTGTTCGATGGCATCATCGCCAAAACGTCGACTCCCTACAGCGAGCGGATGAAGGTGGTTCTGAAGTGGACGATACGCTGTCCTTGCATGATGGAAATCTGTCACAATCAAAGCTCCGACAATAGTTTGGACAAGCTGTTGTCTCGTTGCAACACCTCGTATCATCACTCGTTAGAAAGTGCTCGAATCGCTTCTGAGCTCTCTGCTTGCAAGTCCGCGACAACAGACGAAGAGCTGGTTGAACACATTGCACATTGCGAATATATTGAAGATCGACAAGACAGTCTTGGTCCTGTGGATGCATGCAGGCTGCAAAAGATACTCTCGACTGCTATGTATAAAGCGTTGGCCCTGCTGAGGCTGGAAGGCATGCAGGTTCAACCGGTGTTATACAGGGACAAGGCTGCACTTCTACCTGCCACCCAGTCTCTCCATCCTCATTCATAAAACACTCTCAGCTGGAGTCCACCATCAGGCACATTATTCGGCTCGAGCTGCTTCCTCACGCCTTATCAGCGCGATGCCGAGGTCGACGCAGGAAAAAGACTCCGGTACCCACGAATCCCAAGCCAAGCACAATGCCTGCAATGAACACCGGCAGAAGCGAGTTGAACAGTGCAACCAGCGAGTCGTAGGTTTCCACGTTCGAATCCGTGATAGCCGATCCTTCCTGGCCCCAGAAGACTGGAATCACGACCTCCGTTTGCAGTGCTGGATACAGTACGTCGCTCATAGCTAAGGAGCTGTTCAGAGACGAGGCCGAGAGAGCGTACGAGGCCATGATCCGCTTGTACGCGCGCATGGTCTTGCCCGTGCCGGCTTCAATGTCGACGAACGTCTCGTACTTGTCCGAGTAATGGCTCTGCAGAGCACCAGCACTGTCATACAGCGCCTCTCGACTAACTCGCACGCCGTCGCTCATGGTGATCTCCACATTCGTCGTCAACGTCTCGTCGCCAAAGAGGAACATGGGGAATGAGACGTACGCCAAGAAGCCCACAGAAAAGGACAGCGACTGCAAGCCATCCACCGGGTAAGCCGTACCCTTGTCGGCATTTTCAGCAGACGCGGTCAGGACATTCGCTGCAGGACGAAAGCGGTGCAGCGTGATGCCCTTGTACGTCACCTCTTCATGCTGATTAACCAGCGTCAGGTTCTGCTTGCCCTGGCTGAAGTAGATTACAAACCCTTCCAGAGAGATCTCGTCCTCGAAGCCAGTTATACTCACGCCGCCAGGGGCGATGCTGGTCGCGTCGTTACCACGCACGGGGCTGCACGTCAAGTTGGACGGAGGCGCTGCGCAGTTGCCATACGTAGCAAACGCAGCCATCTCTGCCAGTGTCGGGTTACGACGTTCACCCAGATCTGCCCACAATGCAGTGATCTTGTAGCCGTCGTACTGCTCATACTCGTTGATGTGATTCTCATCGTCACAGCCCGTGCGAAGCGTGTACGTACCCAGGCTCGACGCATTAGGAGCTACCTTGGAAAAGTCCCGACCACTCGACTCCACGACCCCAGGAAGCGGAGCCGCACACAGACCGAGCATGTTGCAGAGCTGACAAGTGCTGGAGGCAAACTTAGCAGCCTCCTCAGCACCGTAAGCGGCAGCGTACGTTGCCTCGATGATAGCACAGGTCTCGTCGTTGACCGCTACGACACCGGCCCCACGGGCGCATTGGAAGCATTGACCCGAAATCGCGAGACACTCGTCGCTCGTGCTGTCAGCACAGGCAGCGCACTGCTCATTGAGACCACCTTGCACAGCACACACCCGGACGTAGTTCGAGCCAAGACCCAAGCCAGCGAGCAGACTCGGGTAGCCGAGGGCCCACTGAGAGACCGTGCGCTTGGCGAAGAGTCCGTTGTAGGCGAACCCCGTTAGGTTCAAGTTCGCGATGGCGCTTGGTCCAGTAGCCAGGAAGCTCAGCACTGCACTATTGTTGGTCACTGTGCGCATAGCCTCTGGGTCCATCGAGTTCAACCCATTGACCCAGCGCATCATCTGCGGACCGCTCTCGGCCACGATCGCCTCGACTGCACTGGCATTGCTCCTCGCCGCAAAGGAGCCCATTGCCAGCCGTGTGAGGAAAGCCGCTTCACCGCCAGCTTGAGCGATGACACTCATGTACGCCAACTCCATGGCCGTGACCTCGTCGTTGTCCGAGCACCCGTCACAGCTCCTTTCCGGCATGAACGTGTGGTACGTGTATTCCTTGTAGCTCACCCGGTTCCCGTTGTCCAGAAACTTGACGTCCAGCTTGATTTGGCGGCGACGATAGGTGTAAGGCCCCATTTCACGCACCTGAAGGGTGTCTGCTTCTCCAGCAAGGTAAGCTTCGGCATTGGTCGCGTTCATCATGTACAAGCTGGTGTAGTACGGCGTGCAGTCGTCGCAGTCCCCGTACGGGTCCAAGTAGCTCTGTTTAGCTCCATCTGAGGCACCGCAGACCACAACTCCGTCTTTGACGACGTTGTCGAGCACGGCTGGGATCACGGTGCCGTAGAGGATTGCAACGAGTGCGATGAGGGCACCAGTGAGGATGAGACCGAGACCAACTGTGCAACAGCAGCGATGACGCGGACTGCCGCCGCGTTTGACCTTGTCTGAGAACTCGGATTGGGGCGAGTCAACTGCCATCGTGCGTGCTGAAGACTGCAAATCGGGGAATGCCGCGTGCAATGAGCTCGCAGGGGTTCACGGGGGTCACTAGATGGATCAACCTGATCCGGCTCCGGACGGAGTGAAGTGCAGGCGAGTACCTGATGACCGTACTTGCTGAACTCAAGTCACTGAAGCCAACTCGCGTGACAACCACAACAGTCCAGGTCTATGTGCGTTTCAAGAGTTGGATCGGCGTCTTCCAAGCGTCTCAATGGCCACCAATCGACCTCATGATCCCGAAGGTGGTTGCACTTGGCGGTTGAGCCACCTCAACACGCGGTGGGATCAAATCGTGCGTGATCCACAGACTGGCTGATTGGTTTTGCCTCGTGACGTTTTTGTCCCTCGTTAGCAATTGTGAGTCGATGCCGTCGGAGATGGACGTTATGTCGGCTGGGAGGAGAGACAGAGAGGAAGGTCGTCAATGGACTCGGGCACTTTGCGGCGCCTTGAGATGAAAAACTGCGAGGACGACAGAGTATGGGAGACGAACACCTCACATTCCGAGCCTGACAAATTGATGGACTTTGGCATTTGTCCGTACGAGGCATGCGGGTACGTTGCGTAGCGTTCGTTCGTTCAGACCAGACTTGCAATAGTCGCTCGTGCACGGAACCTCGAGCTCTCCTGGCAGTGCTGAATGCCACGCCGAGTGTCGCGAGGTAAGGTTGACGCTACCGAGCACATGTATCTGAAGAAGCGGCTCCACATTGACCTGACTTGGATCGATGAAAGCACTGCTATCGATTCACATAGCTACCACTGCCATGGGGATCGCCGTGATCAGCATTTTTGTACGCGTCGGTGGTACTCCGATCAGAAGATCCCGGACGAAGGGAGCGCAGACTGCAAGACCACGCGTATACACCAGCATCCTGAAAAAATAGTGCCACACAGTGCGGCAACAGTCTATAGGCTCGACCTATTGCGTATTGGTCTTCGACAGTTAGCACGAATGTGACTCGGCAGTTGCTTCATACGTGACAACCCACGCATGACTGAGCTCACGTTTGATGCTGGATCTACCTGCAGCCCCGCTGGGTCTTGTACCAAGACATATCACAGTAGCTCACAGCGTTGTATTGTACGTCACACGACTGTGCTCTGAAGCACTTTCTCGCCCGCCTGCTTCGACTGACGTTCATCAATGAGGAAATAAAAGGATCGCAGCGTGCCGTGCTGCTCTTCCCAGGCGCTCTATTCGCGTTGAGAGTCATACATGTTTTCTGGTCCAACGCGTGCAAAAGGACGCACATGCATGTATTTGAACAGAGTTTTACTGCATCTGTGAGCGTGCCACACATTTGATGGTGTCACCACGTCGCCTAACTAATGTCGATAGATGTACCATGTCCTAGACTTTTTGCACGAGACCGTGTCGGTATTAGAATAATGACGCGGCTTCAGACGGGATGCCTTGGATTGCTGCTTACTAACAGTGTGTGGTGATTAAATCCATACTCGATTCCTGGTGACGATCGGTCGCGATTCTCAGGATTCATCCGGCCTCCTCGATATGTCTGTGAAAGTCCGCTGTTCTCCAGTGGTGACGTGTGTACATGCCTGCTGTATTCTTGTGCAACGAGATAGCTCGCGATCAACGTCACGACTTAGTCCATGTTTTTTTCACTATATAGTAGAGTTCGTCCACGACCATCGTGGCTGCTTCACTGTCAGCAATTCGCGCTCGGCTAGTCTCTCTTCTTCACACGCTGTCAATCTACCTGACACTGCAGAACAGTAAAAAAAGAGGCAATTGCTAACTTTGCGCAATCTTTGCTTTCAGTCAAGTCGCAGACGTAGACAGGTCCACTCCAACCAGGCGTGCAAAGTCTTGCTTTCTTCGCATTGCTTGCAGTATTTGGTCCATCTTTAATGACTTGTCAGCATCGTAGTCTTCTTCGACGTTGTGCCTGACACGAGTCAATTCATCGTAATGCAGATATTGTCGAAGTATTTGACGACGACATTTTTGCATTCTACACTGCAGCAGCGATAACGAAAAGGGATCTTTGTATCATGACTACGCCATTGCGCGCAAGAACAAGAGAAGAGATCCTGTGAACATGCTTATCGAATGATGAAATGAAGAGCACTAAAACGTGTTATTCTAAGCTTGTGTAAATAAATTTCGCATGAACTAGCCCGTTTCATTCTTGAGTATTCGTAACATTACGTAATCAGGTGAGCTCGTTCCCTTTTTCCGAGCCGAGTTTTGATCAGTGTGTTCTCCAGTTCGTAATTCCGACCCAATTTTGGGTCGTACATTATTACTGTATGACATTTGCGAGATACGCTCCGTGGACAAGTTGCTGACTCGTAGTGGCTCTTTCTGTTTTGGCAGATATTGGCTTCGATACTAGATCAAAGTCCATGATCAAGAAAGAGACGCGCAGTGGAAAACCAGCAGATTCTGGTGTAAATTTTGTGGGCGTTTTTCTCAGAAATGCCTTGTCCGATTAAACTTGCTGTTATACTTGCGCATGTCGTGCACTTCGGTGGAAGTGAAGTCCCGGTACGAACAGCTTACACAAGTATACAACTCAAAATGGAACGTGTGCCGCGACGTGTACAAGCTGGATGGTTTTGATCTGAGAGAGATCTTGTAATGCCGTGAAGTAAAAACAGCGGTGGGTTCGCATTGAACATCAAATTGAGGACCTTATTGGATGCATGCATGTAGCATTTCGTAGCCAGGTAAAGCAAATGGTTTCATCGAGAAACCAACTACTCTTGATGCATTAGAACCTGTGGTCAGATCCTCGCGCTCCCGTCACTTTGTCGCAGTGTAGCTTGGAATCTAACATCTCGCACAATGATAATCGCTACCAGGGCACGTTGTGTCTCGACAAACGCCTCCGTGTTGAGTCCACCAGCGCTATGTAGGGTTCTTGCTTGTAGCTTTGCGACGCATTCTCCAATGAAATCTTTCCTAGTACTGATGCGAATAATAAGCATCGAGTGCGCTCACATTGACACATTTTTGCACGTCGTCGAAATGAAATCAAGTACACAAAGCAGTTTGTTGTTTCGTGTGAGCTGCAATGTCCCATGTATATCTGTACTCGACACACTACATCAGCAGTAGCACTATCTAGGAACCATAGTGGATGGTACGGAGCAAATCACCTCACAGGTTTGAAAAGAGACACAATACCAGTCTCGCATACTGTCAGTAATCCCTCGTTTCCACATGAACATCTCTAAAGCAAGCGATACCTCGTCATCGCATGCGTCAATCCTAAAGTAAGAACCGTTCTTAAAAGTTGCTGCGAAGCATAGTCGCTAGCATTCAATTACGTACTCACAACTTACATGAACTGATGAAGTTGCAAGCTCGTCGGTCTTCTGAGTTGCATACCAGTTTACCCGTCACATTCGTGATGTTCCTTTCTTTGCTTCTGTACAAACTACCTGTTACGCAAACTCCTCTGTATTGATTCAACGTCAACTTCGTATTCTCCATGACTCTCGTCGTTATCGACGAAAATGTATGCGGCCGAGACTCAAATAAATGGGCAAAAGACCCTTATTCTGGTCCATTTAATGATCAATTTGAGTCAATACAGATTTGTTCCGTGCTAATGACGTCGGAGGAAGAGTACGACTTTGACTACAGCGATGAGGACGAGGAGATGGAGGACGCCGAGACGGCGGATCGCCACGTGCAGATTGAAAACGCTTACTACGCGTCCAAGCAGCTGCTGGAAGGCGGTTCCCCTGAGCGGGAGGCGGCGTTAGAGGCGCTGGAAAAGGTGCTGGAGCTGCAGGGGGAGCAGACGGACTGGGGGTTCAAAGCACTGAAGCGAACGGTGAAGCTGCTGTTTGAGCTGGGTAGACACGACGAGGCGCTGCAGCAGTACGAGGAGCTACTTGGGTACACGAAGACGGCAGTGACGCGCAACGTGGGGGAGAAGGGGATCAATAGTATCCTGGATTACGTATCCACCAGCAAGGTGGCTGGGATCAGATTTGGTCTCTGGTTTTGCTACCAAATTTGTGACTGACTTTGTGGTTTTGGTTTTGATTTTTGGTGTAGAATTGGGAGATTCTGCAGAGGTTCTATGAGACGACGTTGGAGACGCTCAAAGAGGCGAGGAATGAGGTGAAAACGAGAAAGAGAGAGCGTGTAGTTGAGCTCGAAGGAAGCTGCTGACGGTGCTTTGATCGCCGTTGTGACTGTACAGAGGTTGTGGTTCAAGACGAGCGTCAAGTTGGGCAACTTGTTGTACGAGATTGGGGACTTTTCGAGGTTGAGCAAGGTGAGAGCAGGATCGAGCTGCCGGGTTTAATGCATGGCTGATAACTAATGACGTGTGTGGTGCGTATAGATTATAAAGGAGCTGCTGATGTCGTGTAGTGACGAGGATGCCGAAGATTGCGTCCGAAAAAACTCGCAGGTGCACAAGAGATCTTGTGACGGTGGAGAGAGCCTTGTTGCTTGCTGACTTTATATGTTGATGCTGTAGTTGCTGGAAGTATACGCGTTACAGATTCAAATGTACACGGCACAGAAGGACAACAAGAAGCTAGTGTCGATCTATGAAAAGGCATTGCGGACCAAGTCGGGTGTCGCCCACCCGGTAAATAGGTCTTGTAACATCGTAAGCGTCTCCGTCGCCGCGTCTGATGTTGTACTTCTATGTGGTTGCAGAAAATAATCGGTGTTATCCACGAATGTGGTGGCAAGATGTACATGATGCAACGCGAGTGGGACAAAGCCCGAAGTGACTTTTTCTCCGGGTTCAAGAGCTATGACGAGGCTGGTGAACCACGGCGACTTCAGTGCCTAAAGTACTTGGTATTGGCCAACATGCTAAGTGAGTCGCAGGTCAACGTATTCGACTCGCAGGAGGCCAAGCCGTACGAAAACGACAAAGAGATCGTGGCCATGACGATGCTCACAGACGCGTTTCTGCACGACGAAATCAAGACGTTTGAGAAGGTGCTGACTCGGAATCAGGAAGCCATCATGGACGACCCTTTCATCAAGCACTACATCGACAGTCTGTTGCGAACGATTCGAAGCAAGGTGCTTCTCAAAATTGTCAAACCCTACCGTACCATGGACACGCAGTACATTGCACGTGAGCTGAACGACATCCCACTTTCCGAAGTCGAGTCGCTGCTGTCAGCGCTGGTGCTAGACAAGAAGATCGAGGCACGCATCGATCAGGTTCATCACACGCTCGTGCTTTTAGATAGCAAGCCTGAGGAAAAGTTTCAGACGTCCATCAAGGGCTGGTGTGATGCCCTGGAGAAGTTTCATTCATGTACGATGGACCGCATTAGCACTGGAGTTGGAATGTAAGCAGCTTCAACAGGCATCTTTGAAGCGATATTTTAATGCGAGTTCCGCTGCTTTATGGCAGACTCGCTCCCTTAGTTTATCCCGGCAATCATACCCCGCATAGCTGGCCAGAGCATCCCCGTAAACCGCCATTCTTCAGTAAAAAGACGACTTCTTACATGGTAGCTGCCTATGCATCTCGATGCATGCACGTTCCATCCCAAACCTGCCATCCATCTCGGTAACACATCTTAGCATTCTACGTCTACCGGGCGTTTCGCGATATAGAAGTTCTTCGCCAGACGAGCATTCTCCGCCTGCCGAGAGGCGATGTGCCAGGCGGAACCGATGCACAGGACGGACCACACGGACCAACAGAGGCAGAAACGGAATCCAATCCTGTAAGCGCAGGCTTCGTCACAAAACTCGAAGTAGCTCTTCGGTTGTCCCTGCTTCGAAATGACCCACTCCATGATCAGACCCGTGAGATACGGCGACAGAGAGTAACCGAATAAATTGAACACCATCACGGAGAATGACGAAGCGATCGCGCGATGTTCAGCTGGCACAACGGAGATGAATATGCCTGTGCAAGCTGGCAGAATCGAGCCGCCAAAGAAGAGCAGCAGCCACAAGAAGCCAGAGGTAATGAAGACGTCGTTGAAGAACGTCGTCACCGCCGAGATAAAAAAGGCTGTCAGCCCGAGAATCATGCAGATTCCCAGAGCCTTTGCACGCTGTGCCACACCTCTGTATCCTCCGTATCGGTCAATGAGCCACCCACCGAAGAATACGCCGAGAATGGGTCCTGTACCGGAAACGACGACGAACAGCGCATTGACGAGGTACTTTGATGCGTGCAGTGACTTGATCATGAAGATGGTGCTCCAGTACTGCACGCCCGTGACGACAAAGTACACCGTCGTGAGGCCGAACACAATGAGACAGAACACAGGTATGCGCAACAGCTCGCGTAAGCCGTCCGAAAACGCGCCTTGCTCATACACCTCAATGAACTCATCTTCCATGATCGAGGCTTCCAACACGCTTATCTGTGAAGTTTTCGCTGGAGTTATTGCTGTATCCAAGGCGCCATAGGATGCTGATGCAGGAGCGCCGCCTTCAGGCACAGGCACCGGCGGTTGTTGTGCAGCAGCTGAAGCCACAACGACGATAGCTTCACCACCCGCACTCTCAGCACTGATCGGCGATGTCAAGATCTCCGGGTGGGCATGGACAGTGCTCTCACCAGCTTCCAATTCAACTCCAACCGCTTCGGGTAGTACCGAACCGTTTGAGCTTGGAGTTCGAATCATAGTCCGCCGAATCGATGCCACCGCTGCATCCTCTTCGCAAGGACCGAGGTGGTACTGCTGTTCCTGGTTCTGGAGAAGCTGTCGATAGCTACGCTGGCTGCTCGGCCCATACATACTCGCACCAGCAAGCAATGCGTCTTCTTCGTCATGGTATGTCGTCGACCTCGAACTCATTGGCGTGCCCGCCGCTGCTTCATCCAAAAAGCTGTGCAGACCAAAAGCAGATCTGCCACGTGTGCTCGGAAAGCCGCTGCGTCCATAAGTGAGTGGCTCGAGCTCGAAGCGTAACGTGCCGTCGGCGTTGTGCGTTTTCTTCGTGTCTTCTCGAGCACCTTCTGCGTCTCCGTCGTCTCCCTTCACACTCGTCTTCACAGCATCCACGTCAACTTCCACCGACTGCACTTCGTCTTCACAGCCGTCCGACGAGCTGACACTCGCACTCTCGGTGCCTCCACTGCCAGTAGCTTCTCGGTCATTGTCACTGCGGATGATCAAGTGCTTCGAAGGCACGAGGAAGATCGCCATGTTGACCGGCAGCAGTGCTAGAAACTGCAGCAGAAAGGGCCAGCGCCACGTCTGGACGTGCGGGGAACTCTCGGGCACGAGCCAGTTGCTCACGGTACCGATAAAGTAGCCGAGCATGACGCCCATGGGGACGCTGCCTTGGAGGTAGCTCATCCAGCCCGCCACCTTTTCCCTGGGCGCGTACTCGTCCACCCAGAGCGGCGTGTAGATACAGGGGAACGCCTGAGTGAACCCCACGGCTGCTCGGGCGAGAATGAGCATATTGGCACTGTACGTGTATCCAGTGGGCGTGAGCGCCAGCATGAGCACGGCCACGTTGTTGCAGAGGAGACTGAGCCCCAGGACGAGGCGGGGGTTGAACCGGTGCAGGAAATAGGCGCAAAGGGGAGACGCGGCGCTCAGGGCCAGGTAGACCACGCCTCCCAGAGCGCCCTGCTGCGTGGCGTCCAGGGTGAGGGACACGCTGAGCTGGTCCAGGAGACACGGAATCGCGCCGGCTTCGAGGTACACGATGATCTGCGTCAGGATGAGGTACTTGAACACGTACCCGGCCTCGGCCCGCGTCTTGTGCATGAAGCGCTCGCGCCGCTCGGCCTTCGTGAGGGGCGCAAACGTCTCCATGGCGGATGATGTCCCGAGTCGATTGACCGGTTACCGGGTGGCTGATTGGTGATTAAGGTGAAGTTAACGAGAGAGTGCGGGAGCTGGTACGGATAACGTCTTCCCTTCTTCTCTGCCGGGGACTAGCGAACTAATTAAGTGACTGACCAAGTGAGTGACTGAGTGACTGAGTGACTGACTGGACTGCTGCTGCTACTTCTGCCGCTTGTGCTACTTAGAAACAAACGCCTTCGCGAATCAGGTGGCGGCCACTGGATTGTGAATTTCTCACTGTAACATTTAAAGTTCACGGCAGTCGGGTGGAGCAGGCAGTCGTGAATTGTAGAGCGTGCGTTGAACGGGATAGGCGGGACAATTTGATACGCCCTCGACGAGCTGCTGACTATCGCGACAATTCCGGGACGGATGTACCACCGATCAGAGCCGCGCGGTGCGACGTGGACTTGTTACACCATCTGTACACGAGCATTCTTAACGGTCGAGAGACAGTCGTTGCGAGGCGTCTGATCCACAGTGAAACACGTGCGATCGTAACCTGGAACACTGGTGGAAGTTGAAGTGGGTGCAGGAGCCTGCTTTAGACGACCAGCTACTCCAGCAAAATGTCGTCCATACGGACGGGGTTGATACGTAAACATACATGAGCACCTCAAACCAAGCGTATCGCGTTTATGCATCTGGCTGGGCCTTTGGTCGGACTTGTGATGATATAGTAGAGAGGAGCGTTGAACGTCGCAGCTTTACGTCCTGACACAAAATGGCAGTCGAGATAACGCTGCGACAAACAAGCACGAGAACGGCCTCATTTGCTAAGCCGTCTGATCTTGTATCAAAGTGGCAACGAGTCCTCGAGCGAGGAGATGACTCCTCGTCTCCGCTACTTGCAGGTCGAGTCAGGTGTGACACAGCCAGTTAGCTCAGTTGCGTGGCCCTCGTAGCTGCACCACGCTATGCTATCATACACAGGACGCCAACGTCATTGCTAGACCAGCACATCCATCTTGACAGCCACAGGAGCCAGCGGTAGACTTGGACTTCTATTTGTACATTCAAACTCGATGGCGTCGATGCAAAGTGGATACTCGGTGACCTTTCGATCGCGCACCCTTTGGGGGCTGATTGTGTCCACAGCTTACGACAGTATCGTCCACGTACTTACCATACAACTTCTGGTGTCTGGCGGGGCATCTATCGATTAGCAAACATCGCAATGTGTTCGGTATTTGTGTCAGCGAATCTTTGGCATGCTGTTCTCATCATTTCTACCACGAAAGTAAAGCCAAGGCACCCGAGTAACTATTGGAATGGATGTGCATTTGACTGTGGCGAAACAACAACAAACAGATGTGCGAGAGAGTGCAGTCACACTTTGCACGTGCGAGCTCTTGGAAGGTCAAGACGGACAAGACAACCCACTACTGTGTTTCGTTCTTTGGCGATTGGCTCGAGTCCAGTAATGTCGTACACCACCTGCTTGCACTGACTCGATCGGCACGTCGCTCGAACCATTGGCTCATCGATTCCGTTGATGCTGAGGAGCACCTGTTTGCACTGACTCGATGCATCGTTCAAGGATTTTACAAATATCACAGCTTCTCCGAAGGTGTCGAGTACAATATTTCAGTACGTGGTGAAAAAGATGGTAGTCAATAATACGACATTAACTGATTTGCTACATCTCACAGTTTATTCTGAGAGGGGAAATGTGATATCCTCCCTCCGCATAGAGATGTCAAATTGCCCGCTTGGATCAGAACTATTGTAGTATGTAAAATGTGGTAGAATGACAAACCTTTGTCATTTAACGGTTGTCACACGTACATTCATTGTGTAACGGGGTTGCACGAAATCATGGTACTTTGTACCAGAGGTGTTACACACCTGAGGGTTCGCTTCTGTGAAGGTGATATAGAATATCTTATCGGTTTGTAGGGGCTGACAAGTGTCAGCCATTAGATACGAAAGATCTTTGAGTAGGATTAAGATATTCTATAGGCTTTAACATTAAATAAAATCAGTTCCCATTTTGATCTGAAAGACGCGTGGCTTGCGAGCCGTCTTGATCGTTGATCTCTGATCACTAAGAGTTAGCAACACCTCCTTGAGGTAGCTACTCTTGAGCACTAAGTGCTGTCGATTCACTGAATCGTTAGGTCCCCTGAACAGGGATCTGAAGCTGTAAAGCTTGCTGACTCGTAAAGTCGTTAGTTCTTTGAACTAAGTTGCTCGTAGAGCGTTAAGCTTCCTCTGACTTAAGGAGCTGTGTAGCTCCGCTACACTTGGTAGCACTTGTAGTCAATCTACGCCTGAGTCTTTAAGACTGATCCTCAGTGAGGATGGAAAGCATCACTCCCTATCTGAGGCCCAAAGGTCGCGCTTGACAAGCTGACCGCATCTTTGGGTCCAGAGTACGTGGAGTTTCTTGTTTCACAAGGTCCTGAAGTGCTTAATGCACGTGTTGACGGCTTCATGCAGTATGAAGCGACCCTTTTAGGGCAGGTCCAAGACCAAATAGCGTCGGCTATGCCTACAGCTTCGTGTCTGTACCAGACGAAGAGGCTAGCCTCGTCCACTTAAAGTGGACGTAAAAACTACTCCGGCAAGGAGGGTGAGAATCTCATCCTCTGGATCCGTGAGATCGAGATGGCCATGAGATCAGGCCTGATCACGCTTGACCATCAACAGGTCTCGCTGCTATCTCGAAGCTCGATGGTAGAGCTAGAGAATGGGCCTTGACGTTAGCACGTCGGTGGACATAGCGTTTCCCACATGGGAGTCGCTCAAATCACAATTGGTACAGGTGTTTTCTCCACCTAACCAGGCTTACCGCGTGCGCTCACGCTTTCTTTCTACCCGCCAGGTAAGAATGAATTATCGGACTATGTCCAAGAGCTGCGAACGCTCATGGCTGCAATGCAGTCTGACCCTCTGCCTGAAGCAGTCCATGTGACTATCTTCATGGAAGGTCTACGTACTGGCATTGCCAGAACCGAGGTTTTTCGGTTCACCCCTCTACGTTTGAAGAGGCTGTGAGAATTGCTCTTAATGCTGAGCATAATTTCAAGTCGGCCAGACTTGGTTGGAATGGATACAACCTCGCCTGTGAGAGCAAACTATTCGGTACCACTGCCTATAATAGGCCGGAACCGATGGATCTCAGCTATGCTGAAGATGGAGTAAGCTGAGCTTCAAGCTGCTGAGCAGCAACACGTTGTAAGACGATGCTTTATGTGCGGAAGCCTAAACACTTGCGGCCTGGTTCCCTTTGCTAAGCAACGCCAGACTACGAGCCAACACTGACCCCGAGTCAGAAGTCTGGCATGGCACGAAATGCCGACACCCAGTAGGCGCGGCCCCTACTGGGAAGAACTATGTTCTGTTACACCTTTAGGAGGTAAAGGAATGCAGGGCTTAGCCCCAAAGAGTACCATACCTACGGGTATGGTGCGTGGATACAAGTCTGGCTTGTTGGTCGCCGAGGCGAAAATTAAGGGCTTCGAGAAGCCTTGGTCGATATTGATCGATTCTGGAGCGTCTTGCAATTATGCTCGAGCCGTTCCCTTGAGGAATTTATGTTGAGCGCTTACAGCGCATGAGGTGATTCTATCACGGTTCGTTTAGCGACTGAATCGCGTAACGGTGCTAAAGTTCCATTGAACTTAGGTATAACGTTTTTAGACTTTGACAGTATTGAGCCTGTCTTGTCCTAGATTTGGACTCGAGATATGATCTCATCCTAGGTATGGCTTGGCTTGAGCGCCATGAGCCATGGATTGATTGGAGGTCTAAGACCTTAGGCCTACGCGCAATGTTCCTAGCGAAGCTTTGAGAGTCATGAACCCACCTTTGCTAGGCAGCAAAAGCGCTATTGGCCGAGCCTTTGACAGAAGATGTCAATGTCTGATATTGGAATGTCCGAGTTATCTAACTCCCATGTTACAAACATAAGTTTCGAGCCTAGCTCGTCTAAAACTAGTGAAACGGCACGTACTCCGTTGAGTGGTACTCGTTGTGATAACGAGTCACTGCATGCTGAAAGCATGGTTGGCCTAGGGCCGAGTGATCAAGGACGTATTCCTTTGATGTGTTATGGTGGCACGTGAAACTACACCGAGTGCGGTCGGCCGTGAGAGCACCGCACTGAATGTCGGTAATGACATTGTTGGCGATACGCCGTATAGTGTGGGCGGCCGTGAGGGCACCACACCTAATGTCAGTAATGACATTGTTGGCGATACGCTGTATAGTGTGGACGGCCGTGAGGGCACCACGCTTAACGCCGGTAATGGCGTTGTTGGCGATTCGCCATATGGTGTGGGCGGCCGTGAGGGCACCACACCTAATGTCGGTCAAGACAAAAGCTCTCGTATAGAGCATACTATGGTTGGTAGTAACCATGGGGACAATATTGTCCCGACCCCTAAGGGGAGTAAGGTCTCGAAGAGACAATCGAGACGCCGAGTAGCAGCTGTAAAGCGCCAGGCGTCCTCACAGTCACATAGTGAGATTATCAATACACTGTATACACTTGTTAATGGAGTGACTGGTCGGGTTGATGGCAGTGTTTGCCTTGAAACCCTTCCATCCGTGGACGCTCTTTGTGAGCTAGACGAAATGTCTGATGGCGAGTTTAGCCAGGCCTTGAAGGCAGGAGAGTTATCCGAGTTAGCGGTCATTAGACCTGATACTGAGTTGAACTCTTCCTCGTTAATGGATGAGTCTGTCCTAGAGGATACAAAGGCGGCACTTAGTGCACGAAGTGGATCTTCGATCCTAAAGATCCGTCGGATCCGTTCTATCCTTTAGTCAAGGAATTTCAAGATGTGGTGTTCACAATTCACCTTCTGCCTTACCTCCCGATAGAGGTGTACGTCATGAGATTGACTTGGTTCCTGAACTAAATACTGTGTAACACGGCAGTGGCCTTTGCCTAAAGAACAGTGCGACGTCATTGACGATTTCTTTCGTGCTAAGCACCGGCTGATGGTTCGTGAGAGCAAGTCTCCCCACTCAACACCGACATTTTGTGTCAAAAAGCCAAATGGCAAGTGGCGTATTGTCATGCTTACAATAAGCTTAATGCAGCTACTATACCGGCCAGACGCCTATTCTCGAAAGGATGTCTTCAGAACAATATGGCGGGATGTACACTGTACAGTGCACTCGACTTAGTCGATGGTTATTACCAACTGCTCATGCGAGCAAGCGATATTCCGCTAACAGCGGTGAGTACTCGAGCGGTATGCTTTGGGAGTGGCTCGTTATGCCGCAAGGGCTATCTAACGCCCCGGCTACGTTTAACCGGTTGGTAACGCAACTATTCAGACCTCATCGAGGCTATGCACAAACGTACTTTGATGACATTTTTTCCATAGTCTGCAATGAATGGCGATCAGATGGGATAACCACATTGATCATTTACGAGCTGTCTCGAGTGCATGCGAACGAATAAGCTGTATGCGAACGCATCGAAGTGCATCTTTGGTGCAGAAGAGATTCCCTTTCTAGGGTGCTTCATTGAGAAGTGAGGCCTTCCAGCGGATCCCGCTAAGGTAAAGCCATAGTCGATTGGCCAGTCCCCAAGAACCAAAAGGACTTGTAAATGGCTTGGCCTTGCCAATTACTTACATAAGTACAGTGCAAATTACGCAATATGGCTCGGCCATTGTCCAATCTCCTTAAAAAGGATGGGTTGGTGTTGGGTAACACCGAACATAATGCTTTTGAAGCAGTTAAGGAGAGTCTCCTCCATGCCCAATTTTGGCTTTGCCCGATTCTGGTCGGCCTTTCAGTGTCGTCTGTGACGCATCTGACTTTGCCATAGGCAGTGCTCTGTTACAAACAGATGTCGACGGACGCGAACGCGTCATCGCATTTGAATCTCGACAGCTGAAAGCTGCTGAAAAGAACTATCCTGTTCATGACAAAGAGCTACTTCTATGAAGTACGCTCTTGTCAAATTCAGAGTCCATCTGCTTGGTCGAAGCCATTTGTGATCTATACCGATCATGCTCATTGCGCACTCGACACAGTCGCCTCATCTCCACAGAGAATGGCTCGTTGGCTATCTTTCTTTGCCGAATATAACTTCGAGGTGAAGTACAAGCCAGGTAAGCAAAACGCCTTGCTGATGCCTATCGCGTCGACCTGACTATGAGCTTGCTCATGTTACGACTCTGTCTCTCAGTCCCTGACTTAATTCGTGCGGCATATGCCAAGGACGATCAGTGTTAGCTTTGCTAGTGCCTTGGGACAATGAGTTTAAAGACTCGACATAGAATTGTCGCACGTTTACGTGCGAGGCTACATCGATATTCCATCGATAATGCCTATTTCTATCGCACGGATATTGAGGACAACCCTGTATCGTAGTACCTCATAATGAGGAATTAAAGTATCGGATCCTCTATGAGGCACATGATACTGCTTTAAGTGGTCATCTCGGTCGAGAAGACTTATAGCTCGTGAGCCAAAGTTATTGGTGGCCCAAACTTTATAATGGTGCGCACCTATGTGCGTACTGCGAAACTTCAACGGTAAAACCCTCGGCACATGCGGGCGCTGCTAGTTTGCCAGTACCCAGTGGTTGTTGGGAGTCCATGAGCATGGATTTTGTGTTTGGCCTACCGAAAGATTCGGAAGGCAACACTGGTATTGTGGTCTTTGTTGACCGATTGAGCAAGATGGCTCACTTAGCGCTGTGCCTAGCATCGATGCGGAAGGTACAGCAAAGCTGTTTATCGACCGTGTGTTTCGCCAACATGGCTTGCCTTGCAATTATCTCTGATAGAGACCCCCGCTTCACTGGGAAGTTTTGGAATCTATCTTCAAGGTTTGCACTCGATTGACATTCCACAGCGGATCATCCGCAGACCGACGTCAAACTGAGCTGTAAACCGCGTCATCAACGACATTTTGCCAGTATTTGCCTGATACGCCTAGCGTTGGTCAATGCTCCCTGTTGTTGATTTGCGTTGAATAACGCTGTTCATGCCTCAACAGGCTTTACTCCTTCTATATAAACGGTCTCACTCACCCTCGCGTTCCGTTAACGCTATCACTACTGAATCAGGGCTTGGTGGGGAGAGGTTGCCGATCGGCTTGCTGATATCAGCCCTGCTACTGTTCAAAAACAGGTAAGCGAGTTTCTGCAACGCGATTAAATGTCTTAAGACATGTGTACCAATGGCTGATAGCCAAGATACCCAAAAACAACAAGCTGATGCCAAAGGCAGAAATTGTATTGAACGTTATGAGGTCGGAGACCAAGTACTACTCAATGCTAAAAATCTACCTACAAATGTAGTGTCTGCTGTCTTTAAGACAAAGTTGCGTCCACCTTTATTGACGTTCACTCACCCAAAGGGACTTGGTATACCTAAACCTCCCACGCAAATTGCGCACACATCCAGTGTTCTACGTAGGCTTACTTCGTACCTCCTTCCCATGTGAACTTGAGCGCTTGCCGACGACAAGGGCACGCCCCGGATTGTGTAGACGAATCAGCAAGTCCAACTGAGCCTGCTCCGAGTTTGAGCTTGCTCCATCGCCTGAAGCGTTTTGCATCGCATCCAGCTCACTGGACTTACCAAGGCCCTTGAAGACCCTTCACTTCGAGAACCAATTTCTGTGGGCCTCCACCTACACCGGCCGCCACCGACGTTGCTCATGAGCATGGTGTCGTCAATTCCATGTCGAGAGACTACTGAAACGACCTCGTCGTCAGGGCCAATATCGTATCTGGTAAAGTGGCGTGGGTACCCTGAGTCTGAAAACTCATGGGAATTTGAGGTACCCTTCCAAGACTGCCCATATGCTTTGGAGGCTTTTGAGCATCGTGGCCATGGTCATCGCGAGGCCGAGGCCGTTCACCACCACTAGTGGTGCGGGTTGCGTTGTTGGTCACAGACTGACCAGCACTCGCGGCTACCTTAGTAGCCGAAGCATAGCGCGTGCCTTGCGCAATTGGCCTCTGGCTTAAGCTGGCATAATCATACCGAAGCTTGCGTTCGAGACGCACATCCGCCCTGGGCACTAGCCCTTAGAGCAAAAATGTTGCTGAGGCGACGCACATAGTGCACCCAGTGAACAAAGGCATCGTCTTCTTCACTCGCTGTTTCGCCTGCGAGCAGGAGAATGGGTATACCCTTCATCGGTGGAACTGGTGCACCACGTGCTTGCATGTCAAGGCGTGCCTTGTATTGACTTTGAGTCGTTAGGTGCGCTCCAGGTACCTCTCACGAAGTGCCTGGCAGCTCACCACCTCCTCAGGAGTTTTAGGCCCATGGCCAATGACCCACTTGCCAATGTTTGGCCGGCCGCTTGACGCAGACGTTCCTCCACACTGGGTGGGGTGAACACATAATCACGCTGGCGTTCAAGGGTTGCAGTCATCTGTCATAACGCTGAGCTTTTGTTCTCTTTGAACAAGCAGTTGTTGTTGCTCATCGAGCGGGTTCGCGATGATAGTCTCATCAAACCCAGATGCTGCACGCTGCGCTGGCGGCGCGCTCGCACCTCCACGTTCAGCGAACGGATTTGGGGTGTTCGAAAGTTGTGCCTCAGGCATCAGTGAGCCGACGTTGTCCCTGTGTCACCGCGGACACTGGTATCGCTACCATAGTCCACCTCTTCCTCTATTCCGAGGTAGTCACACAGAGCCTTTGACTCGTTTGGTGATGAGGACATCGTGCTAGAGCGTACGTTACCGTGAGGTTCACCGTACCGCACTGTTCTCGCTGAGAATACGAGTTCGATTGACGTTTTGGGTAAACGTCAGTCTGGTGGGGGAGGGTGTAACGGGGTTGCACGAAATCATGGTACTTTGTACCAGAGGTGTTACACACCTGAGGGTTCGCTTCTGTGAAGGTGATATAGAATATCTTATCGGTTTGTAGGGCTGACAAGTGTCAGCCATTAGATACGAAAGATCTTTGAGTAGGATTAAGATATTCTATAGGCTTTAACATTAAATAAAATCAGTTCCCATTTTGATCTGAAAGACGCGTGGCTTGCGAGCCGTCTTGATCGTTGATCTCTGATCACTAAGAGTTAGCAACACCTCCTTGAGGTAGCTACTCTTGAGCACTAAGTGCTGTCGATTCACTGAATCGTTAGGTCCCCTGGAACAGGGATCTGAAGCTGTAAAGCTTGCTGACTCGTAAAGTCGTTAGTTCTTTGGAACTAAGTTGCTCGTAGAGCGTTAAGTCTTCCTCTGACTTAAGGAGCTGTGTAGCTCCGCTACACATTGTGACATGATGTGGCTCATTGTGGTCGGTCACCTCATTCAAACTCGTAGACGCCCGCAGCCGACATCAACCTAAATGCACAGATGTATCCTTGTGTTGAAGCTCTTTGCACAAATTGTCACTGTCATGTACCTACACGGCTGCCTAGTCCTTGCAAAGCGTGTAACATCTCAACGGTCAGTTGACATTTCCGAAACCTTGTCGATATTTGTAACGGGGTGAATCGTTACATAACAATTTATAAGAAATTGTTAATAGAATATAACTATAAGAGTTATATTCTCAGAATATTGTCATAAGGACAATATTCTGTAGCACTTCCAAGTAGTTCCTAATTGGTTGATATAGGCCATTATATCAACCAACGAAGACGCGCCACGACAGACGCACGCAATGAGTGGTGAGCAGATAACTGATTTACACATTTGTATTTAGACATAGTTAGATGAAGATAAATAGTGATTTATTGCAGACATTAACTATTATAAATACAGTTCTACTTTTACTCTAACCAAGTACTCGCTTCTTCTTACCGTCTTCCTCTGCACGTACGAGTGT